CACCTTTCTCGCCTTGCGGCTGTTCGTTCTCTCAAATGCATTCCTGACGGTTTACCGGTGCCTTACGAAGACACTTAAGATAGAGTGAAAATACCTTGTTCTCTTTTATCCTTGCTTTTTGTGTTTGCATCCCGAGTCGAAAATAGTCAGTGTCGAGGCCCGGATGTCCGAGCACCTAGCATTTCTTCAATCGGGTGTTGTCGGCACACAGAGATTGATTCCCCTGATTCCTTTTTTTTAAAAAAAGGAAAGGGAAAGAAAAATTAGCTCGGTAACTCGTTACATTCCCATTTTCCGGAAATGCTAAGACTCTAGAAGTGCTCTGTGACATTGCTCTCTTTGCCTTTCCCTTTGTTGTCCTTTCTCGTGAGAAGAGGCTCGTCTATACAGGATACTAGACTCTCTCCTGAAAGACAGAGAAAGGTAGTAAGCAATGCGCTTTCTTTCCGTATCCATCGTCCTTTCGGCCGGGGTGTCCCTGGCCGCCGATATCCCTGAATCAGCCCGCTGTGTAATTTCAGTTGCAGAGGCTTTGTCTCATATAAGATTCGCCGGCTCCCTCAATTCTACATACACTGGTTATATTTGCACAAATAGGCTCCATACCTATTCTCTTTACGCCGCTATAAAGCTATACTGCTCTCTCTCGAATATTGAGCCCGGTTTGCACGTGTTGGATGGTGATTGCGAAAAGGAAGGCTTTAAAAGAATACCCTATAAAGATGTGGAACCGCAGCTTTCTGATGAGTATCTTGCTTCGTTGAGAGTAGTAGAGTTTGGAGAAGTGGCTAAGAGGATACGATTACCGGAACCGGTTCTTATTTCAGGGAATTACTTTTGGAGGGCATTTAGGACTAATGTGAGATGCTCTTTTATATTTCAGTTATGCTCTTTGAATACATCTTAGAATAGCTAATAGCATATACTCGCAGAGAGCATGGGCTTTCGAGACTTGGGCACACCATGCATTCGGGTGAGTTGATTATTACAATGATATCTTATCTTAGTTCCCATGCTAATTCGGCTGATAGGAACGCTTCCTACTGGTTTTGGGGTGTCGTTCTACTATGTGGTGTTATTAATCGTCTATATGAATATTTCTTGGCTGGTAGATTACTCCGTTGGAGATACGATCAAGAAGGGCATTATTCGCTCGCGAGATCCGCGCCGCGACGTTTCGCTTCGGCTTTTCTCACCACTCGCCATTGGATCAGAGCTTATTTAATCCTTCCACCTGCAATTGGGGATTATCATCAACGGCTTTTGTACTGGTGTGCAGTTCCTACCCGCATCGAGGCCATCGTGATCGTCCTCTATTATCTTCTCAGCCTAGCCCTCACTATTGTTGGGTACGACGTCTTCAAAGGAAATCTTTAGTAAGTGTATTCGGATCCTACACATACACACACACACACACACACACACACACACACACACATATATATATATGTGTGTGTGTGTTTCTTCGGGTGCAGAAAACCGGGAATTGACATGAAATTTGATTTAGCTGGGATGATGTTTCTACCCAGGCATGGCGCTACCTCTCTGATAGAGCAGGCATAATGTCATATGCGAATCTAGTGCTTTTATGGCTCTTTGCAGGAAGAAATAATCCTTTCCTCTGGGCTACAGGTTGGAACTTCGGAACTTTCAACCTTTTTCACCGCGCTGTCGCCAGAGTCGCCACAATACAAGCGATCATCCATTCCGTGGGCTATACCGTGTTGACTCTAAGGGGTAAGAAAAGTCGGCCCTCCAGCGTGGACCTATGCAACTGACTGTTGTAAGTGCATTCGTATCTCTCATATTGGCCGTCTGCGTGGTGGTACATGGGAGCAGTGGTAAGTTTGAGCATGACCCTTAGCTTCCTCAGTTTCCCTATTCTAATGCATTGGTCATTTAGGGTACTATCGGAATGGGGCTCCTCCTTGGATTTTCGTCTATCTGGCTCCGACGTAATTATTATGAGGTCTTCCTGCTTATTCATATAGCCCTTTCAGCGGTAATCTTAATCGGGTTATTCATGTAATACCACCATTTATGATCCGAGGACTCTAACACCGAGCAATGCTAACTGTTAATAGCCATACGAGCATCTTTACAGGAGGATATGACAAATATCTCTGGCCGGTGGTGATTGTCTGGATATTAGAAAGGGCCGCCCGCCTCGTCAAGCTGGTACACTGCAATATTTACCTCCGCCGCAGTGGCAAGAAGCCGTTGATTTCGAAAGGCACAGCGTACTACGATAGGTCATCTAACCTCATCCGACTTCGAATCGTCCCAGGCTTGGGAACACTGGTTCCTCGGCCGGGGCAGTTTTACTATATTTATCAGCCGCTGAAATTGAGAGGTTATGAAAGCCATCCATTCACTGTTGGCAGTTGGTCCCAACACATAGAAGGGGAACCTGATCACTTTAGGCCTGTCTCTCCCGAGAGGCACAAGATCGAAATGCCAATCAGTTACTCTCTCACGTTCTGGATTCGACCTTTTAACGGCTGGACGCGGAGGTTACAGTCGGAATGCATCTCGCAAGGCTGTGCAGTTCAGTCCACGTTCCTTCTTGAAGGCCCGTATGGCGTCTCAATTCCGCTACACAAATACGAAAATGTTATCCTGATTGCGGGAGGAGCTGGATTTGCGGGTGTATGGCCACATATCGAGGAGCACTTGAGACGTTCATGCGTGCCCGTTTTACAGCTAACGGAAGATACCCCTCATTCTAAAGGCTTGCCTATTCCGGCCACCCGAACAAGAAATATGACGTTGATTATGGCCTCAAAGCAACGGGAACTCTACAATGAGCTCCTCGACGGGGAGAAGCTGCGTTTGCTTAGCCAAACGGGCATTAGGACAGAATTCTATTCCACGTCGTATTCCACATGTTCATCGCGGTCGGCCGAAGAAGCGCTTGACGAAACTAGCCACCTACTTTCTCGAGACACAGATCCAATCCATGGCCACCGCGCTTTAACGTCGATACCAATTAAGCATGGTCGTCCGAATATCACAAAGATAATCAACCATTCATTGTATGACGCTTACGGAGACGAGGAGCCTGTATCCAATAGCGGCCTGCAAACGGCAGTGTTAGTGTGTGGTCCAGCGGCGATGGCAGATGATACGAGAGCCGCAGTACGTGATTTACTTAAAAAAGGGTACAAGGGAATTGATTATTTTGAAGAGGCTTTCAATTGGTGAAAGAATGGATGGGCTTCAGTTTGCATGCTTCAAACAAACAAGACCATTAGTCTCACCCCTTTTAGGAGGCAACTTGCCCCTTACTAAAGAAATACTTAGAGCGAGCTACCCAAAGTTAATGTTAGTTTTTCTGTGAAATAGCTCGTAAAAAGGAGGAGAGACATCTCTGCTGAGGACAATAGAGCACTTTTTGCTATCACCCCCTTAAAAAAAAGGTCCAAAAAAGTTATCACGAAATGCATCGGCCGGGAATCGAACCCGGGGCCCGTCGATGGCAACGACGGATTTTACCACTAAACCACCAATGCTGACACGCTTCTGGATCCGCGAAGAGCAAAAGGCCCCGCCATATATAAGGTTTGTTTTCGGATTTTCCACCAAGGCGCTTACAATACTCCATACAGACGCCAAGGAGCTAACTATTATGAGTATTAAACGTTTGTTCCGTTTGCATGGGAGCGCGAAACATCAACGCGAGGTGCAGAGTACCGAGTATGCGAGCCGTCGGAAAAGCACGATTTGTAACCTCGAAACATAATATTTTTTTTCATTTTATTTTCATTGCTTTTTCCAAGTAGTAATACCCCGGACTGAATATTCCCTGGCTGTTACTGTTGGACTTTTTAAAGCTGGCTGGCCTCACTCTTTCTCTTGAGCTCTAAATCAACCTTGCATTATTTCACCCCTCCTGAAAAAGTTACCGCTCCACGAAAATATTCGCACGCAGTGCGCGATCTCTATGAGCATATTCCCGTAGCTCAACATTCATAAATTGTGTGGCATATCGATCGAAGAAGTTGCCAGGGAGATGGAGGTCATTGAAGGTATAAGAGAAAACCACTCCTTTTAATGGATATGAAGCACTAGATCAATTGACAGTCAGCTAATTGTCTACGTTTTATTTGTAGAATACGTCATCCCTACTTTCCACACAATACGAGAGAATATTCCACCATCCGTGTATCTCCAGATTGCTTCCTATGCCGCTATCGCCAATGAGTACTTCCAATACCTCCGGTTTGTGTATGCCGAACCATATATCATCAACCCTGTAAACACCCTGATCAATTCGCCCCCGGATCTCTACTCAATCCTGATCCTTTTCTTCATTCTCGTAATCTCGCTCAAAGTCCTTGATTATGCTCGGCGAGTGATTACATTTTGGATTGTTCTTTTCCTCCGGCTCCTATTTTGGAGTGCGATCTTGGGTGGCGGTTATTATGTATATAAGGTCGGATGGGGAAAGGCATCGCAAGATGCGGCTTGGATTTTGGGGCTGATTGAAGGATTCATACAGCAGCTGTTGAGTGAAAGTGATACCTCTACACGAAGCAGAAACGGGCCTGGGTATAAGAGAACAGGACAGGGACGGAGGCTGAACTCGGGTCAAAGGGGATAGCCGAATTATTGCAAGAGTTTAATTGGCATATTTACAAGCATGCCATAAACTGAGGTTTTTCTTGGACTATTTCATATCGAAGTCTATGGGTGGCTGTGCTCGTGGCATCTTGATGCGTATATCGTTATTTTCTTTCTGGAGCCCATGCGGTCTCTTTATGTGTCACTCTCGCATATCACCATTCTCACAGCTCGAAAGGGCAGGTTTCTAGATTTGCAGCTCAGCCAGGTCAGTTGAAGCCGCATTGTAGAGGCCGGTCCTGGTGGGAAAAAGCCTCTCGTGCCATGAATGGACCTTTGCAGCCTTCCAAGCCACAGCATCGTGATCGGAAGCGAAGTAGATGGTAAGCCTCAAATGGCTTTCTGACCCCAACGGTTATCATGTTCAGGCTTTTAAGAGTATTCAATAACGCAGAAGCTGCCTCATTCCAGGTCATATTCTTGCTCGTCTGCCGGCTCTCTCGGCTCTTGTGCCTCATGGAACTGAATGGCGTCATCAATGTAGCTTAGCACTCCCGCAATGCTATCCTCATCCTGCACGTTTAGCTTCAAGAACGATACCATGCTGAAGTCGTCAATAAGTTGACCGACAGCACGGTTTAGCCGTTTGAAGGAGCTGCCGCTTAGTAATTCGCCGGTAGATGAGGGATCACAGGGTGTTTCTCCATCATTCTTTTCATCATTCAGCAGCTCAACGTCGACGGACATAAATCTCTTCAGTTCCCGCTTTCCCACCAACCCTTTGACCTGGTCCATCTTGCTTAAGATATTGACGTGCGGTATCTCTAGTAAAATCATGGCAGACATGGCACTCAGGGTGCCAGCAAAGAATTTTGCGCGATCCACCACAAATATGCTTTCCATGAGGTATGCAGCGCAAAGCGAAATATTCAACGGGCCAGCACGGGAAAGATATTGTATCAGCGACGGCAGTAACGGCACATGAGTGTATAACTCTATTTGACCTGGCATGTCAAATATAATTAAATATTCTTCGCTCAATGGATCCAGCGCTTCGTTGAGAAAATCGAGGTTCTGAAGGAGGAATTCAAAACAGTACATCAAACCGCCGTTTGGGCCAAGACCCAATTCTTCCATCACATCTTCCAGAGTAATAAGCTCTCGAATGTCCAAATCCGGTTCATAGGCAAAAGATTCAGCGGCGGGGTCGAGATTTACGTAGAAGCAACTGCGTCGCGTGTTTTGAAGGTGTTGTATGAGCGCGGTGCAAAAGGTCGTCTTGCCGGCGCCCGCTGGGCCCATAACCAAAACACCGAATTTTGACATAGTAGGGGATGGAAAGATTTTGGATGGTACAAAAGGCTAAGACAAAATTCAGTTGTAACTGTGTGTTTCCTGAAGAAGTGGTTTTTTCTCCTCCGCCCGGGATGTTGCCTAGTTAATTGGTGGGGTGTGAGAAATTGAGTGTGCGGATGGATAACTTTGCGGGAGGAACATGGACTTCACGACAGCACATCCTCCTAGTGTCTCTGATCAGTAACTCTGCTAAAGGCCATTGAGCTTGTTTGTTTGTTGCTTTCTCCAAGTTGGGATGGGTGGGGTTATCCATGACGAGCAGAGTATGCACAATATTCTGCCATTCTAATCCGCCTACCATTTCCGACACCGATGTCGCAATCCAGACAAACAGAGCAAACACTGCTCGGAGCCCGAACGAACCAAAAATTACTCCGCGCCCCCAAGCAAAAAACCCACTGCTCCGCCCCTCCCTTGAAAAGAGAAACTCCGAAATCCTTCTCTCAAAACCCCTCTCTCCCTTCTTTCCATCAGCATTCCCTCCTCCCTTTATCCCTTTTCCATTTTTATTCTCCCTTTTTTTCAACTACCTCAGTTCTATCCCAACTTTCTTTTTGCATCGATTGTTTCCTTCGAGACTCAAGCACAATGGGCTCCATCGCGAACGGCGTGCAAAAGCGAGAGGGTACCTTCCTCTTCACCTCTGAGTCTGTTGGAGAGGGCCATCCAGACAAGATTGCGTACGTGCTTGACCAAAGCCGCCCTGTAAAAAGTGGATCTTGTTTGAGCCCATTGAATCTAACTATAGACACAGCGATCAGGTGTCCGATGCCATCCTCGATGCCTGCCTTGCTGAGGACCCTTTGTCAAAGGTGACTTGCCCCGCTTGCGTTGACCATCATTCAAAAAACTAACGCTCAGATGACAGGTCGCTTGTGAAACTGCAACAAAGACTGGTAAGATGAAAAAATATTAGCTGTTGTTGATAATTGTAATTTGATGTATTAACCTGCACCAATAGGCATGATCATGGTTTTTGGTGAGATTACCACAAAAGCCAATCTTGATTACCAACGAATTATTCGAAACGCTATCAAAGACATTGGCTACGACGACTCCTCTAAAGGTTTCGATTATAAAACTTGTAATGTCCTTGTTGCCATTGAGCAGCAGTCTCCCGATATCGCCCAAGGTCTCCACTACGACGAAGCTCTGGAGAAACTCGGTGCTGGAGACCAGGGTATTATGTTTGGCTATGCCACCGATGAAACCCCTGAATTGTTACCATTGACGATCCAGCTTGCCCATAAGCTCAATCGGGCCATGAAGGAGGCTAGATTAGATGGCAGCCTTCCATGGCTCCGCCCTGACACTAAAACTCAAGTTACCGTTGAATATGCCCATGACAATGGTGCGATGAAGCCTCTTCGCGTTGATACTGTGGTTGTCAGCGCCCAGCACAGTGAGGATATCACTACTGAAGAGCTCCGCAAAGAGATCTTGAACAAAATCATCAAAAAGGTCATTCCCGAAAACCTTTTGGACGACCGCACCATTTACCATATCCAACCATCCGGCTTATTTATTATCGGTGGTCCTCAGGGTGATGCTGGTCTAACCGGCCGGAAGATTATTGTCGATACATATGGCGGCTGGGGTGCCCACGGTGGTGGTGCTTTCTCCGGAAAAGATTATTCCAAAGTCGACCGTTCTGCTGCTTATGTTGCACGGTGGATCGCTAAGTCTCTTGTCAACGCCGGCCTCGCTCGTCGTGCCCTTGTTCAGCTCTCTTATGCTATCGGTATTGCTGAACCGCTTTCGATCTTCGTCGAAACTTATGGCACCTCCACCAAATCTTCCACCGAGTTGGTGAAGATTATCAGAGACAACTTCGACCTCCGACCCGGCGTTATTGTGCAGGAACTTGACTTGGCCAAACCCATCTACTACAAGACCGCCAAAAATGGCCACTTCACAGACCAGAGCTTCGCCTGGGAAAAGCCCAAGGCTCTCAAGTTCTAAGTCTCCCACTTCCTAGCCTCGCTTTGTACGAAATAAATGTCTTATGATCGCGACGATTTTGCTTTGTTTTCAACAACTCAAAGCACGGCTATAGACGGAGGGTTCTTTCTCCCGCTTTCCCTTTCTCTCATTGCACGAGGCCTATGACCACGGCGCTTTGACAAAAAATTCAACATGTGATACCAATTTCTTTTACTGGATGGCGTTACAGAGGGCGCTGTAAAAGTTTCGACAGAAGTTGTCTGGATTTCGGAACATAGAAAATGAACCACACTAATTCATCGGACCTGAGGGAGGAAGGAAATATAATTATATGCAATGGATAATCGGGTTTCCCCAGTCGCAACGGTGGATGACCCAACGGTGATGGAAAGGGCCAATTGTGGCCTCTTATTCTTTCAGATTTATCAATTTTGCTACCTCTATGTAAATTTTAGCAGCTTCAACGGATGTGATATCTCAAGATGCAAAATAATCCCCAAAATTCAACAAAGGTCATGAGGGATTGGAAGTCGAGCTACCGAGTACAGAGAATGAGGTCGTCTTACTGGAACACTTGCCCACTCAGTGCAAGTCATGTGATTAGTTTATAGTTATACGGACTATTACGGGATTCGGAGGGTAAGGAACTACGGCCTACGGAGTACGGGGTACCTCATACTCCGTATTCCGTATTATTACGGAGTACATGTACTTACTCCGTATGGATGTGGCATGACGCGTGAAGATGCGCCGGAAAACGCAATCACCAGCGATGACGCTCGACCAGGTGTTAGGGTTAAAATCATCAGAATCTTCTCCATATTGCACATTAATGTATCTTATGTATGGGACTATTTTCCTAGTCAAGTTCTTACTCGATAAACCTCATCTCTTCGTGAAGAATGAATGGCGTCCCTTCGAAATGTCACGGTACTCGAATCTCATCTTTAGCATCTTTAAACACGCAAAGTGACTTTTCGGCCCCGGCATTGAAAAAAAGAAAGAGGTTCCACGATGATGGCAAGAACGGTGCCAAATGCATATTGTCCTCTGCCATCGATATTCAGGTGTGTGCTGCATGTTCATACTGTACAATCCTCGTTCAACAGCCAAGGCTCTGCTAATGCTTTCCGCACAACAGCCCTACACATCTTCATTATCGGATAAAACAGAAACCCTCATACCTATCATTTTATTACCACGATCTAGGTTACCCCTCTCATGGCTTGATCCTTGCCCGAATCCACCCCGAAGCATAGCGCCGGGGAAACTCTTCGTTTCAAATATTCTCGCCCTTGAAATCGGACTACAGGATAGGGGAAAACATGTCGTGCTTGTTGCACGTTTGCGCGGTGAAAAGCATTCGTCTATAAATTTTATGGGCCCAACAGAAGGAAGTGATTGTGAGGAGGAGCTATACGTTGTCGAAAGAGTGAAAAAGGGTATATACTCCGTATGTCCCTTAGGTCGTCATATTCGAGAAGGGGACGTCATCGTCGCGTCCAAGGGCTGGAAACCTGAAGGAACGGGCCATTGTCTAAGTTCGGGTTCAGCAACCGGGGAAGACGACTGGTTCCAGAGAGCTAAAATTCTTCACGACTTTGAGGGAGGGAATTTTGGGAACCTCGCCATAAACGATGTAACACTAGTATTTGATCAGTGGCCAGGAATCACAGGAAGTGCAAACATCACTGAACAGCCCGAGAGTGCTCCCGTACCAGAAGAAAATACGTCCATCGAACTAGGCTGTTTGTACGATGCTATCCACCAAGGGCCTGAGAATTCCTTTGGAAGTCCCGGTCAGAAAAATATCAAAGGTATATTACTTGAACATTTTTCAGCTTATATGCTAATTCCACTTTGTCATCAGCGAATTCGCCGTGCCCCCGAGACATATTGGATAATCTTAAAACCCAGTACCTCGAGACCCTCTATATTTCCAAAGTAAGTTATTTGGCCAAACTAGACAATTGTAGTTTAGGCGGCTCACAACCCACAGGCTTCTGTGGCCTACTTCGCTAAAGGACCGCTTTCTCGTGCGCGCGCAGCTTTTCAATCCGCTAAGGATACTGCATCCATGCGTGTGTTAGATCTTTATTACTTTTACCGGGAATGCATTATGCCTGTGAAAAGAATGGATATAAAATATCGAGATTCTGTACCGGAAGTGGTGCGGAATTTCGCCCTGGACCTCGCGGAAGGTGGAAAAGCCGCTGTACTCTCACCGAAAGGAGGAAAGCGCAAAAACAGAAAGAGAAAAATTGGGAGAAATGGTTTGTATCCAGATGAAAGGGATTTAATTGCAAGGTGGTGGAGCCAGAGAAATGTGGCAGAATCGCCGTTGGAAGCATCTTCCGGAGATGAAGAGCTGAAACAATTGGTAGCAGATCTGCGCTTCCGCGAAACACAGCTCCAAATACTTCTGATTCTTGAGGCAATGTCCTTGGAACTCTCTATGGGTGCAACTGATGGAAATATTCCGGAGTTAGAGCTGCAAGTCTCACGGGCAAATAAGGTCTCCAAGAAGAAAGCTCAGGACTTAGGCATGCTTCTCGAACTTCTGGTAGACAGGCTTTGTATATGGCATACGGTAAGTTCGAATGATCCTGTCTCAGTTAATCCTGTGAAAAGGCAAGACAAGGGTAAGGAGAACGATAAACTACGAGACTTTTGCACGGAGGTCATAGTCCCTTTTTACGCCTCTCGCCTTCCAGAGCAATGCAGAGCTCTGAGCGGAAAACTTGGTGGGCCTATATCCGCCTCACCTAAACGTCCCACTATATTGCGGCAGAAGAGTTCAGCGGATAGCGCTGGTGAGACGGTCAAGAAACAAAATCAAAGGTCTCGTCGGACTCTTCAACGCGTTCTAACTGATGAGAAAGCTGCCATAACAAGACTCAATGCGGCTGTTCCAAAACTCAAACGAGAGTCCAGCGAGCCGGTTTTTCAGTCTCTGGTCTCAAGGGGACGGGGTGGTATCCAAAAGCCCAGGCGCATCGATAACCGGGAAATAGATCTCGATGCTGTTGCGCGGCAGCATGAAACAAAACTCAGGAAAATGGCCATGCTTATTGAACAAAAGAAGGAATTGGATGCAGCAATCAATGCCCTAAGAAAGCCGAACAGAGAGCTGGTAGCTCGGGATTGGGCGGATTCTGCGGAAAAGAGGGCTTCGATCGGGAGCTCAAGAAAGCAGAAAGATCCGATCAGGAACCCTTTAGGCGAAGGAGTACAGGTAATTGCAACTCCTAAAGGTCTTCGAAAGAAAGACTGTGAGACATCCAGTGTGCCTTCCATCTCAAGACGTCCTCTAGCATCGAATGGAGAGATAGGTTTATCGACATCATTTGGCGTGGACGAGCAAGTCATTCAATCTTCTGCTCTGCGATCGCGCAATCTCTTCGGATCGAGGCTTAATCCTAAAATCATTCCGAAGTCCGTCCAAGAAACCCCGTCAAAACGCTCTTCACAGATTCCGGTGGTTTCAAGCTCTACTGTCAATACTCAAGCTGGTCCGACTGGCGTTTTAGAGCCCACCGAAACGCCTTTCAAAGTTCCTGGACCTTTGAGACGGGGTAACTTCAAATCGTCCGCGCCTGGGTTTACGACACCTACGAAACCTCCAAGGTCCCATATTAACAATGGAGTCATAGCTTCATATGCAGGTTATAACATGAAAAACGATAACGAGTCTACTTTTGGCGTTGAGGAGACTCCACCTCAGCTACTTCCACGCCGACTTGGTGTATCGAAAACGTCCGGGGACACCTCCGTTCTCTCAACTAAAGCGGTCGATCCTATTACCCTCAGAACTCCCATAAAATGTGCTGGATCTGTATCCAACGGCAGCGCGTCTCCCACGGTACAGGTCTCCATTAACTCACGCTTAAATGCGGAGAAGTCAATATATGATCAATTGGGATGGGATAATGATGAAGAAGACGACGATGAAATTGCACTGTGTTAGAGTAGGTAAGCTGATGTTGGTGCTTACCAGTACTCTACTCTACCTAATTAAACTCATGTTGGCTGTTCTCCCGAGTCACGATTTTCAAAGTATCGTTTGGAAGAGCCGCATGCTGCAAAGCCCAACATCATCCGCTCGAGTTGGACAAGATCTCAAGCTCTGTCTCCTATTACTTAAGTGCAACTCAAGGTCATCTGATTCAAGCTCCAGAGCCCAAAAACGTTATGAAATATCATGCCGTGACACTCCATATCTCGAAAGTGTCAAAACGAGGGTATGCCCGCTTCGGGTCTTTTACTCTAGGCAGCCATGACCATCTGCGTTTTGTTTCAATATCCCCGAGTCCGACAAGCCCTAGCCGTTCCAGGGTGTATGCTTATCGATTTGCGTCATGATTTCGTCTTGCATACTTGATATTCACGCGGATATCCCCTTATTTGGTCTGAAAACCAAAATCGCAGATCAGATTAATTTTCGGGCTTCCGGTGATAAAACTTGCATATACGTGAAATAGCTAGATAGAGTCCAGCCATTCTGTTCGCCTGTCACTAGCGGTCGAGACAATTTTCCCGATCGTGTGATTCAAAATTTGAGTATGATTAGTCCCACATAAGCACATCGAGGATTCCATGATCGCCTCTCTGTTTTTCACCCGTGTTCTTGAAACAAATATGAAACATTAACAGCTGACCCTTATCCCAGGAATCGTGTAACATTCGTATGTTTCCAGAAGCGATTCGAACTTTCTCACAGCTCTCTAAGAGCGAGCTGAGGAACGTTTAAATCGGTAACAGGTGGAGAATTCGGGAGGATGCAGTGATACAGCGCCCTTTGTGTCGCGATTCAAGCTTGAGAGTGTTACGACGCGGAGGCCGGTCTTGATACATATCCAACAATATGGTTAAGTCCGAGAGGCAAACCAAATTCCATAACTCCTAAAAGCCGGACAAAAAGCCGGCTTCAGCTATTCATGTTACACTCAACTCAGATAGCGGGATGATTCGGTCGTCTGTTTACATGTCAGGCTCGAAGCTTCAAATATCTGGTGCCTTGCTCCTCCCCGCTATCCAAACCCTCTAATGGAGTAAAGCCTTCGATATTCATCGTTCATTGTCTGTCTGCCAAGTCATAATGCGCCTCAGTCCATCAAAATTGTTGCTCCTGGTAGCCTTCCCGCTTTTCAAGGCTAGCGTTGTTCCACACGATATTCCTATCAGGCAACCCACAGGGCTCCAGACGCTTGATAATGATCATGGTATGGGCCTTTTGTCACGCTTGAGGAACATCTGAGTTAACCAGTAATTAGTGCCGCAATATCATAGGATACGGGGGTTGTCTAGAAATTCGCTTGAAGGCACGTTCCAGACTGCCCATGGTATCTTGAAGAACTCGCGGGCCCCTCCAATCCGTCCCCCATCTCGTGGACCCTCGCCGGGTCGTGGCGGAAAGCCACAGAATGAGCCCTCTGTACAACACCCCCCCGAACCTAAAGCTCCGAATTCACCGGGAGCCACGATCGGGGATCGAATCCCAGAACCGGGAACACTACGGCCTCCACCTTCCGATGTTGGAGATTGGAACTATTTTCTGAAATCAGGCACCAACTCTCAAAAGTGGTTAGATGCAGTTTTCAAATCCAAACAAGCGGATTTCACCCCCATATCCTGGGAGCGCGGATATAAAAGAGTCGACCATGCACCGATTTCTTGGGTACCGGATGCGGAGGTGCAGGCTATCACTAAATTGGAATCTGGACCGGGTTACATGCTGATGAATTATAAGAGCGAGGGTGCGCCCACCATTGCTTTCAACAATATCTTCCATAAAGACAAAGGGGCTATCGTCGCGCTAGTTAACTTTAAAAGTCAAGATGTGTCTGCTCCTGCTGTTCGACTGAAGTGGTCAGATCTCATGTGGCAATCCTGGAAAGAGACTGCTGGAGACAAAGCTAACAGCCTGCGCTGGGTTGTGCAAGACAACATCGTAAATTCTCATACAGAATCCATTATGATACAGGCACATGGGAAGGTGGGATTTCCCCCAAACCAAAACATAGGGAAATTCTGGTATCATGGTGCAGATGACAGCATGAAGGAATCCTTTTTGGCCTTGGCAGGAACTGATAACGTCAGAGGAGTATTTCGCATCGCAGCAAATTACCGCAATGAGTTAGATAATGCCTGGGTGAAGAATATATACACCATTAAGAGTGGACCCCATATTATAGTGGAGTTGGGAAGAGGACCACGTCCGGCAAAAAGGTCTGATATCCAAGGAAAACACATCCGTCACTCCTCATGGAAAAAGCAGCCCATTACTATTTAGAATCAAGGCCAATATCCACTTAACATGCTAAAACCCAGGCTATTGCGGAGGAGGATGATGAGAGGTGTTGTGAAACTGAGGGAAAGTGAGGCACAAGCTACTAGGATTGCGCCTGTGCCCTCATAGATCCAACCCTGGCTATTTGTATCCTGCTTTTTTCTCTCCCTCTTTGTTGATTGGTTGTAATACGGAGGAGACTCAGTTAAATCTTGCTTTTGAAGTTCCCCCCCCCGCGACTCTTGTCTCGGGGCTGGATCCCTATGGAGGGTTTTATAGATTTCGAGCGCAGCGTATCCAACGGCCGCTTTGATTTTGCACGTAAAGGATCTTTTGGAAACTGTAAAACCCAAACCTCCAACCTCTGCATTTCATTCTGAAAGAAATCAGTAATTTACCGCCCAGCCGAAAGAGACGTCAAGCCGTCGCATCAGGAGAGCCATTTCTTGCGGCCGATAAGAGTATCGGAGATGGATTCTCGGCCCTGAAGTTGCACGGAAAAGCTCGAAAACTATATACCATATCATGTCTAGTTGGGCCTAGATGGTGAATTTGATCTAGGTGCAAGTTCGCAGTTCGGGTGCTAATTGCCCGGCCCAAGTCTTATATTACTGAATGTTCCCCGAGGAACACACTGTCACCAAGGACTGTATGATCTGCTACTTTTGGGAGTTTATACTCCAAAATAGCTCTGCCCCTAAAGCCTCCAAAACTTGAACAACAATGCCTTCATGCATAGCAGCCTAGCCTTGGGGTAAAAAGATGTGGGATTGCTGTCCTGGGGTTTGTGGATTTCCCTGATGGTTTTCACATGCGGAAACATAGAGCGGTTCTCTCTGTCTTGCGCCCGGTATGTATTGTTCTTTTAACGCTTGAGGCCATATCACCGCTAATTGCAAATGACCTCTCCTAAGGAACAATCTGGAAATGAACAGGACTTTCTAAAGACTATCGTGAAGCAACGTGATAATATTCAATCTCAGGCCCCTTGAAGTGAGATGAAGTTCACAATGACTCGACGCCACAACCCGTATCAGCCCATACATTTAACACAGCTTTGGTTCTTGTTACAATGCTTGAACACCCGTTGTATCTCCGGTCTGGGTCAGGACTTATAGGTGACAATGTCTACAAAAGCCGGGAATAATTTTTGAATGCGGTATTAAAAGAGTTCGGGGCGCTGAATTTTCAGATGGACCCTAGCCTGTTAGTGTATCAGACGGGGTTCTCTCGAAAGCCCAAGGCCCGCGTGACGGGACGTTGCCTCGTCCCCACTGAGAGTACTCCGTAGTTAGTCCCGAAAACTGGGTAGCATCTCGACAAGTCCTGGATATTGTGGCCCCAGACTCGCAACGGGTGGATCACCAACCGAAAATCTCAAGATCGCAAAGGAAATTTATCCGTATTCTCCTCCGGAGACCGTTTTGACACGCGATTGTTGTTCGATGATGTAGGAAATGTGGACTGAGTTTCATAAGAGGCTAGTGGTGTCTGATTGCCAGATTCCGAGTATAGCGCACTGTCCCTCGCCTCCCGCCGGGGAGGGAGGTGTAAAATGGTCCTGACATGAAAGCGGGAAGAGGAAATTAGAGGGAAAAGAGTTTCCTAGGACAACCTAATCCATATTTTGTATCCTAGCGAGAAGATTAGTTCCTTGTCAATCGACATGGAACCCTTGATAGTTACTATTCATTTCCAATGAACTTCTCAAATATACTAGGAACGATGCGGATTTGAGTAGTTAAAGCATTCATTCAGGCCCGAGTACTCGGTATTTCAATGATGTACTCCATACATAAGTTCTCACTAACCATCTATTTTTTATGCACCTATGAAATGTGCAAGTGGCCATTTTGAGTGAAAATATCAAGTTCCATACTGAAAACGGATTACATAAGAAAGAATTAAGAAGTAAGGTAATTCATAAGAAAAGGTGTCACCGATGCTGGTATTAAGGAGCTTGCTAGAAGGTAACAGATGTCGAGTTCCGTAAACCATATGTTTCCCAAATATTTTCATCACTTTATACATTCTCAAAATCTTTGTGATTTCATACATTACCTAATTTTTTCTATGAACAAGCCATAATTCTTGGTTCAAGTTCCCATCCGCGTGAACATGCTGCTTTTGAGCGTCATATTGATGGGCCGAGGACATGGAATATATGCGAGGCAGGTGGAGAGGACCAGAGGAAGCACGGCGCAGAAATAGCGATGTGAGCGGACGCATGAGACAGAAAGGTGGTCTTGAAGATGACGGAGAAAGTAGAGGTAGCAGAGGCTTCAGAGGTACGGGAAGAATGGACGGGGAACAAGAATTTGGGGGCCGTGGTCATTGTTCTATACATCTGAGTGAAGCCGAAGATACCTCGAAATCTGTGATTTCAAGAAACAGTGTGGTGCGCTCAGGTGGAAAGTATCCGAGACCCTCAAGCCTGGATAGCCGAGAAGAACAATTTTGCTACCGGAAGTAGTTCGACTTCTTTCCTGTTTCAAACCAGAGGGGAAAACCTGCAGCGAAGCAGATATGAAGTGGAGGAGTTACAAGAATGCGCCAGCCTTATATCACAACCAGATAGGGGAGAAAGCACTAGTGCTTTGGCAGAGATCATCATTCTCACGCCCACTTTTTAACAACCACACTGAGCGGCGTAAGCTATCACTAGGAAGAAATTTATTCCCCTTGTGATGCCTATCTTGGCAAATATTATGGGCCCTATGAGACCTATTTAGGGGACCCATTGGCAAGGGCCATTCATGCAAATTCTTTCGATCATCATGATACGCACCAGGTATCATTATTTATGTAGACTAGAAGCCAGATAAGCACTTCAATGTTCATCAAAATTGATGATTGTGGACAAAGTATTCCAAGGAGTTTCATGGCCCGTTTCCAGATAGTAACATCTAAATAGCAGGAAGACATGGACTAACCTGGTCTTCTTTTCATTCCCAAATTGGAGATTCTGATATCTTTTGTTTCTTGTTGTTCTGCCCAAATGCCCCTAGCTTTCTTTGTAGGCAGCTCCTAATCACCATTGGTGGACAGACATGGTGTCCCTAGTGCAATTGCTGTCTGATTGTTGTATGTAGCTATTTGAGCATCAGAAAAACAGCGTGTTTTAATGGTCTTGATGGTCCTCAAGCTCAAGAAGAAATGGGGTATATAATAAGGCTACTAAGGTTTCACCCAGTTTGGAGCTGTCAAAATATCACAAGCATTCTCCTTGAGGCTCGTTACAATACATATAACTAAGTTACACTGGATCTAGTTATGATGTTCCGGAGGCTCAATAAGAGTACTTAGGACTTCTATATCTCTCCGGCTCCGACTGTCCTCACTAAGTTGATCCATTCCAAAAAGCATGTTCTTTCTCAGTGATTCTGTCATACATATTGCTATGAATATTACTCCTTTTAACTTTATATATGCTTTACTCTCATACAGAGCTACATCAATCCTTCAATTTTGTGACGTGACAGTTATCTGTTTACGGGCTTCCACTACTACTACCTGATGCGGCCTCTGCCTACCAAGGTCGGGCCCTCAAATTCAATACCTACAGACACAGGCAGTATGGATGTAAACAGCATTGTCACTAAATACCCATGACCATGCCAAGCCTTCCTGTATCAGTTGGTGGCTCTGTCCTCCGTAGCTGGCGAGCTCATTCCTTAACTACAGGCGCGGAATTGGCATGGTTCTGCAGGTGACTTCATACTTGCCTACCACATCTCTGCGCGCTCCGATTGTTGCACAGCCAAGCTTTGGAGATGACAGTAACGACCAGCTAACTCCTATTCTATTAGTGCCATGCAGAGTACTCCGTACAGGAGCTAACTAACTGTTTTATTGTTTGTGTGATTTTGCCGCTAACTCAACCGCCTTAAGAATGGAGATGTTGGACAATGACCGAGAAGCCTTTTTTTTTTTTTTTTTTTTTTTTTTTTTTTTGAACAAATGATTTGGGACTGATAAGTAAATTTTTTAGCTTTCTCAACTGAAACAGTCTTCAAATGCTGGTGAGCTCTCTTCCCAGCGAAAAGCTAATCATATAAAGCCATCTCCCGGGATCCTGGCCGTGATCACATACATTTGTAAACACGGCTCAGTACCCAACTGACCGGCGTTCCACAGCACTGTCGGAACAATATCTTTTAGCGAAAAAGATGCTCTCGAGGAATTTGTTTCAGAATTCTCCTTGGCAACCTTGCCATTGCCTAAATAAGTGAAGGCCACCCTGCATAATCGATCCGATCTCCGATTCGACCAAAGACGTCCGTTCACGGCCTTGGACCCTTCGCCTGGCAGGCTCACCGTTTTACCCGGACTTACTGGGCTTGAGTCGAGCCATGGCTCTGGATTAAATGTCTATATCCTGCGGTATTTTCCCTAGCTTGGTGAACTTTGTCGAAGGCATGGGTGGTCGGGTTAAGTTATAGGGCAAAATGCCCCTCCGATAAACTGCGAGCAAAGGATCTCAGGTTTGCACCGTCCGAGTTCTCCACAGCCGGCATCCTTTCTTTTTTTTTTTTTTTTTTTTTTGGAGAGAGACCTGCACAAAGTTACCTGCGAGCTAATACGGAGTAGTGTTTTCGCTGATCGATTGTCATATGATCTTGGCTATATGTCACGACGTATCTGAAGAAGATCGGCTCTTTGTGCTTGAGTAACGGGACCGGAGTTGGTGACGTATGGCTTTGGACTTTGTCGCTGCAGCTGCTTCCCTAACACGGAGCTTTGTTTTCGGCACCGAAATGCAAGTTGAAAACTGTTTCGTGAGGTGTCCGAGAGGCGATATCAATCTTGATATGTTCTACGCCATTCTCCAGAAGGACTATACGCAAACAAGGTATACGTGGAGATTTACGAGGAAACCAATGCGGGTTTAGGGATATAGAGATCACTAGCCAAAGTTCCTCGGTTCGATTACGGGATTTTACTGCCCGTCAATCTTAGGACTTAATGCCGTTATTCCAGCGGGCCTGGCTGGATACCTGTTTCGTTTGCTCCAAATCCTTTACCTGTTGGGAAATATTTCAAAATCTAGAGGAGTGCTCCGACGGAGGGGTATAGTAAGTTGATATTTTTTGCACATAATTGCCCTATGGGCCACCTCAGAGTCTTGAAGGCCGAACAGTTCCTTTCTGTAGAAGTCTCCTCGCATGAAAAGAAATTGTTTATGCAGAATATGACATCAAGTCCTCCGTAAGCTAGGGCGTAAGGCAAATGGGGGCCGGCTTGTTAAACTGGGCACAACCTATCCAGTCAAATGCTCGACCTTTGTGAGACAAAGATCCTTGGCCTTGCTACCTGATGGCAAAAGAGTAGTCATGGGACCAAAACGCAGCACAGATCGAAAGGCCAAACCAGAAACGCTCTGCGATCGGCACAACGATTGATAACACCAGCTCCTGGAGCGAATAATCATGGGGTTACAAAGACATGTGTTAAATGGGTGGCATGTCTCTTTGGAACTCGAACTGCCTGAGGCGAGTAGTCTTGATGAGAATATTGGGGATTATGTGCTCTGCAAACTTGAGTAAGTTTAGGGAAGGAAAACAAAAGGCAGTTCGAATTTGTTCCAGGGAACGCAGGCTCGAGTGCATCGTCCTGACTCCTCTGTATAACTAATCTGTCGATCTTCTCCTTGTTTTACTATCTTTTCTTTTTAAGTCGGACGGAAGTAGCGAGAAGGAACCGGGATTCTAGGAGGCTGACTCAACATTGGAATTCGAGGCGAATAGGATGTCGACATTGGCGGCCGCTTCCTGGCTATCCGCCGGTGGTCGTTCTGTTCCACCCGTATCATAGGTATCGTTTTGCAGAGCTCGCACAAGATGAGCGAGCTTGTTGCCTAGTCATGTTTTAGTCTTATGTACTCCGTACTCCGTATGTCGAAGCCGGTTTTCGCATCTGGCTGGACCAGGGAGCGTTGCCAGACAATCACCTCTTAGTGTGGGCCGAAATAAAGGCAAACGGAACTGTAATATCCTGAAGAAAAATAAATATTTCCGTCCTTTAGGATTTGCGTGGGAAGGTTACACAAAACCAGGGAAGAATTGTCCCGTGAGCTGGAAGAGATGGTGCCTAGTCTCGTAAAGAAATTCAAACATGGCTTTATGAAGTACATTGCAATGATTGCCAGAGTCGGACAAAGAAGTCAAACCTGACCACATGAGCTGCATACATATTACTCTGCTGGCTGTTTGTGAGATATTAGGCTAGGGCGAAGTGTTTCACAAGCAATATGTGGAGTTGTGCCTTGCTACATGATGGTGTTATGGTTTTCCTCACGGGAAGAAATTGGGTTCGATCTTGTTTGACTTGCTCTGCGTGAACAGGGGGCAGGGAAGAAAAGAAAAGAAAAGAAAAGAAAAGTGAACAAGCTCGGTTTGGACTTTAATGGCTCGCTAACCAAAGTCTTTGAGGCCATCAGTACGGAGTAATAGACAAAATGAATCATAAAAAGTTGCTCCCAGTGTCTGTCTCATAAACACAGAGTATACATCCTACCCCGCTTCCACAAATCTGTGCACTGGGAACCGGAAGGCAAATATTATGTATGGAGTAGGCTATGCAGTAACCTAATATCGATAGGGATCCATGATGCTATCAAGAAGTCAAGTCGATACACAGCTTTAGGAGATCCCGCTTTTTTGATTGATGGCATATCTGGCCGTGCCGCAACTAGATGTGATGTGCAAAGGACTCCTTATGTGTAGTGGTCGCGAAGTGCAGTGTATGGATGCACTCGCTCCAGGAAATTATTGACCTGGATGAAATAGCTCAAGCGGTTGCTGGGTGGGCGGATGATCGACCATGCCCTAGACAAGAATATGATCCGCGAGCGAACTGTTACGGCTCCAAGATCCGAAGGCTACCTGAAGTGACGACGATGATGATGATGAAGATGACTCGTTCGCTCGGGCAATAATATGATTGCAGCGGTATCCTGACGAGCGCACGGACGCCGAACCGCGGGTCATGGGTTTTTCCGCTGCCAATTTTGGATTTTGAGTTAGGTTATGAAGTTGATCGTCGGTGTGTGAACTCATGTTTCCGGCCCATGCAAGCTCTCTAGAGGACTCCGCATCATAACCCGGGTGGTGCTGCGATGGAGTACGGGAAGGTCTGGTGCAGGCCGAGCAAACTTCCATTAATCGTCGATTGACTCAAGAGCCAAGACAGGCAGATGCCCGTCCTCCAATCAAGGTTCGAAGATAAACGCCAAGCCTGTATTAGTCATCCCGCTCAGTGTCGCGCAAGCGAGTCTGGGCACATGACTTTCTTTTCTGCCTTCCCCTCACTTTCTCCTTCGTCCTTCAGCCTCTCTGGCCGGGACGGACAACAAGACGAACAGACAGACAAGACAGGCAGACATCCATACATGCACCCACGCCGCACCCGGAGACACTTTGTGATGGGAGCAGCAGCAGCAGCAGCAGCAGCAACAGAAGCAGCGAAAAAGAGGAATGTGTCCCTTTGAACCCTGCAGATCCTGTCACCACACCTGACGACTCTCCGCCGTCCTTCCCTGCTCTGCCCTAGATTCCTGCTTGTGGTGAATAACACTCTTCACTGCAACAACGTTACGACCACGCACCCCCCACAGCTTGGCTTTCTCTTATTAATCTACTTCTTTTGGTCCCTGGTTTGTGACCTTATCATCCGCCATTGCTGCGGGAGGAGAATCTCTCCGCTTTTCTTCCTGCTGTCGCCTGCTGGGCTAAACCAGCTTGCAAATCTTGCATCTCCACCTCTCCCCCCCCGGATCAAACTTTTGATAATCATTCACTTCCGAGCCTTGCCGTGCTTCGTTTCCATCCCACCCTGGCCTGACCATCAATCTCTCAGCCCCTCTCAAAACACTCTCTGTCCCTTTATTTTTGAATTTTTTTTCTCTGACATACCCCATTTTACTTCTTCCTTTTGAGTTTCTCCCTCCCTCCTTTCGGTCTTGGTTCCCTCCCCGGCTCATCCCAAAGCCGCGTGTGGCAGTGCGCGGCTCTTTCCGCCACCCACAGCCCAAAAGAAAGTTCCGCTTAAAGGACAGAGCAGGAGGCTCCACCTTCTTTGGTAAGGGGCATAATCACTGAAGCCTAAGAAGAAGAAGAAGAAGAAGAGCAAAAAAAAAAAAAAAGAAAAAAAAAAAGAAAGAAAGAAAGAAGAAAGAAGGAAAGAAAAAAGAGAGGGGGAGAGAGAGAGAGAAAGAAAAAAGAAAGTCACAACATTATTGTTTTTCCAACCCAGAACGCGAAAACTAAGACACACCTCAGTCCTCCCTTTGGTGCTGAGTCGATGCTGTCGATAGGCAAACAGTTGCATTTTACTCTTAGAGCCTTCTTGTCTGGAGATCGATTTTAAGTTAAGACACACCGCATAAGTCCAAGTATCACCACTGTCTCCAGACATCAGGGTATGTAACTAGACCACATCTTGTGTTCTATTTCTCATTTGTTTTTGGCTTTGTCATCTACCTGTTGCTCCCTTCCTCTGGGTGGTTTAGCCCCCATACCTCATGTTAGTTCTTAATGTCTATCACTCCATTTTTTTTTGTTGTTGTTTTTTTGGACCTTCACCTTAAGTACCCACCCGCCTCAAACCGCCCCTCTTGCAAAGTATTTCCTCCTTGCATTGTTTGTCTGTCCGTCATCCACCCAATCGCCTCCCCGCCCGCCGTGCCACCTCAAACCTCGATGCGCTTGTGCTGCCGTTGGAGTTTTAACCACATTACATCACATCCCAGCTGCAGCTGGACTCTCCCTGTCTTCGTCTCATCTGATTTGAACAGTGTGCCGCGTTTCAACTATTATTGTTTGATCAGCATCCACTGTCTTATTTGATTTCTATCGCTTCACACCCTTGCTCTCTCAGTTTCCCCATTTGTTGCAACTCTCGATCCCCACACATCCCCGCCAGCCCGCAAATCGGTTTCTTTTTTTTTTTTTTTTTGCCCCCCCAAAACTCATCTTTCCGCCCTCTCTTCCCCCTCTTCCGGCGCAGGATCTGGCCCGCCGAGTCCGCCAACCTCAAGTCTAACTCCTGCTAGCACCCAAGTCCCGCAGACTACCTCGGTCCACCACTCTCTCTCATCGTCATGTACACCAGTTCCGCATCAGTACAGGGGTCCATAAACGGCCTTGGTAGCGACCTCATTGATGGTTCTGGCACCATCAACCCCGCAGCTCTCAATAATCCAGGTATGCCTCGACGAACTCTTCCACCTAAGCCCGGAAAGCGAATCATTATGTATCACTTTCGTTCTATGCCCTTTGATGCTTTTCCTCTAAAGTCGTTGACAGTCTTTTCATCTTTTATACTGGAAATGATACTGACGCGGTCGCATCCAGCCACCCTTCACTCCTCGCCTTTAGCCGCCCCAGCCTCTAGCACGCCAACAAGTGATGCCCATATCAACGCTACGGCCACAAGTATTCCCGCTGCTGATAATGCTCACGCAAACAGTCCTATTCTCACGCGAGGCATCAAACGCGGCCGTTCAGCCGACCCATACGACGAACAGCGCGGTGAGCATGAAGCTGTTGAGGATGGTACGTCGGCTACATGTAATACCTTTTCTCTTTACGTTTTTGTGTGTTTTTTACCTTACTTGGGGGAAAGCTATCTTATCCCTCTATCTTCTGGCTATAAAGCGTAGACGATCTAACCTTGAATTATCCCTAGATGAGCAAGTACGTCGTAAGCGAGGGAGACCCCCCAAACATTCGCGACCGTCTGGCTCGACCCCGACCTCAAGCCCATTAGCCTCCCAAAAACAAACCAAAGGCCCACTCACCCAACAGCCACAAACTCCGCAGCTGTCGGCACAGAGGCTCCCAACCATAACCGGCACACCTGTTTCGCAATCATCTCCTCCTCCCAGACCAACGCCAACGAAACCGGTCATCAAAGCGTTGCCCACTGTGAGAGATCATACGACCGACCAGTTAAGTGCGGATGGTGACGAGTATATACCCAAGGAATTTGACGCGAGTGGTGAGAAGAAAGTGGATACACTCGGATATCTTCAGGATGGTCGTACCTACAAATGCAGAACTTTCCGCGTGTATAATAGGGGGAACAAGCTGTTCATGTTGGCTACGGAATGTGCTCGAGTCTTGGGATATCGTGACTCTTACCTGCTCTTTAATAAAAATCGGTCGTTGTTCAAGATAATCGCTAGCCAGGAGGAAAAGGACGATTTGATCAGCCAAGATATCCTTCCATATTCATATCGATCACGCCAGATTGCAATTGTTACCGCGAAGTCAATGTTTCGCCAGTTTGGTAGTCGGGTTGTCGTCAACGGTCGACGAGTTCGCGACGATTATTGGGAAAGTAAAGCAAGAAAACAAGGCTTTACAGAGGAAGACTTGGCGGGAGAGAAGCGACCGGGAGGGGCTAAGGCAAGAGAAGCAGCTGAAGCTGCCAGTGCGGGAACTCTTCCGGCCCTTGGCCACGGGGATGTGATTTATAGCAACGCTCCCCCTCCAGACGGCTTGGTTCATGCGCCTGGATTGCCACCCGGTCTGGCAACGACTTTAGCCCCCCTTCCGATGATAAATCCTGTCCCAACGGATGATCCGCGGATGAGGGAGTATAGCAATATACCGCGAGCTAGACAGGAACTTACGGGACAGCCTTATCAGGATCGCATTCAAACTACGGCCACATCCGAGTTGTTAAACCAAGCAACCCACACAACCGATTTTAGCAAAGCCTTGAATCAACAACGAGGATTCCGTGGGAGAGGGCTGGAGGATAGCTGGTTCAAGTCGCGTGATTTGCCGACATCAGATCAGGGTCTACCATCCCTCTCCGGCCAGATCGAGCCAAATTTAGCCTCTTCCCAAACTCTCCAGTCTCCACAGTTGACTTCGTCCGGAATGCTTACATCGACCCCGATAACACAGCAGCCACAGCGTGTGCTCACCCCTCAGTCTTCTTTCCCTCAATCTTCAATGACACCATCGATCCGCGGAGTATCTCAAGGTATAAGGCCCGAACAGTTGCATCACCGCGCTCCCCTATCGTCTGCGAGTACGAGTCAAGCCTCGCTGTATACGTATGCCCAGCCTCAGCAATTGTGGGGTCAGCCGCCCGCTCAACCCATGGGAGCACCCCAGTTTAACCCTCAGGTTCATTCCCAGCAGTCGCCTTCTCCCCATTTACCGTCACATCAATCGCCGCGGCATTTAAGTCGTCCCGCTCAGTCTCCTCAATTGCATTCTCAGTCCCAGAGCCACGGTCAGCAAAATCTTGTCGCAGTTAGTTACACTGGCACTACAGGAGCTGCGTACCCATCAATGCCTGCTGCAAGAGGAGCTTATTCCCCGGCAAATCCAAATATGGGCCAGTCTTATCTCTCGGGTCAAAATCCACAACCAAACATAGGCCTAGGGATGGTTACAAGTGCGACACTTCCTGGTTGGTCATCAACTACTACTGGTGGTACTTTACACTCCGGCCAATCTCAGGGAGGCCCTACACAGAGCGGGTGGCCGAATACATTCTAAGAGAGACACGAATTCTTATGATTCATTTCCTAGAGTCTTATTTATTTTTATTTTTTTTATGAATGCACAAAGCATAGGTGTTGGAATTGGCATATATACAGAATGCTGGGTGGTGATGTGTCTTTCTATTTGCACTCTGTCTGTCTTCGGCTAAATTGGAAAGTTCTCCTAATTCCATCCGGTTCTTTGTCTTCTTGAATTGTTTTAAATTGACTTATTCCCCCCTTTTGCTTGTGCATTTTCTGTTCATACCGGGTAAGGTTTGATTTTTCGCATGAGAATAACTTTATTTTTTTATTTCTCTTTTATATGTATATTTTTTTTTTTTTTTTTATTTTATTTCTCTTACTATTGCGCTCTTTGGTTGAGCTTTATTCATGCCCTAGCCCCATTTTTCTTGCATAAGAAGCTGGGGGATGTTGTAATTAATGTCTTCTCAGCTCTGTATAGTTATGTATGTATCCTTTTTCATACCCTGAGATGATACCCATTTTTCCCTTGTCTGCTTGAATTAATCCATTCATTCCTTTTTATGAAGATAGGTATAATACTGTTCCTCGAGCCTCTATTTCCCAATGAAAAGGAGGGCCCCGTCGTGCCTTTTATTATGCATTTTTAAATTGCCAGATTGGCTAGGATGACCTTTTCTTTTTTTTTTTTTTTTGCCCTGAAGCAGTACACCCTTTACGCCAATGGGGTCATGTCCACAAGTATTATTCTCAGGGATAGAGAGAGTAAAGCAGAATATATCAATGCTGCGTAGACAGAGCATATGGTTTCATGATCAGGAAAGGAGTATATACATGCATTGCACTACACTTTGAAGCTGCTTATTAGCTAAATGTATATTATTAGAACCATTACTTCATATACTGGACAATATTATGCAACACAAGTATGATAATCCTGTAGTAGTTCATTATATCCTTGCTCTTTTAGGTAGCTGCTTGTCAAAGACACAGCCTGTCACATTAATCCACATATCAGTGTTAAACAGTAATCAGCATGAAGGATAAGGTTTGGACATAGGAAAGGGGTTAGGTAGACTATAACTAGGGTCCTGAAGCCAGAGGCTTCATATGAAGTTCAGTAGACACAAGCACAAAGAAAGGGAAAGATAAAGAAAGACTTGGAGGACATGACTAACTAGGAAACCAGAGTCAAGAATTGGACATGAAACCAAAAGAAAAGGATTAGAGATTAAGTAATATTAATTTATCAATGCTGTGTTGTGGATAATTTGTGGGGAAAAGCAAAATAGAATCCCAGCCAATTCCGGTTCACATGTGGTCATATACATTCCGCAGAATTAGGTTGGGTATAATTGAAAATTTGGGCAAAGCTGAGTGCTAGTGATGTCGGGAAAGGGTGTTAAATAAGGTATCGATGTATATATGATGAAGGCACAAAAGCAATTGGGTAATATGAAATCTGTGAGCCCATCTAAATGCACACGCAAAGAACAGTAGACTTTAAACAGTAATTTTTGTCACCGAATTCACCAAGGCTTTGATTGATCTTCGGCTGCCCGGAAGCAAGTTGGTGTGAAGCAAGCATATGGATATGTTGCTGATGCTTAAATTCTTTGATCATAAACTCAGAGTTTTGGTGCAGGACAGGCAGGGCCATGTTGTGACCATGATGAGTTAGGTCTTTGAACCTGACATTGCGGAGTTGGCGGGAACTTGACTCTCCAATCTTCCCCAGTTGCTGTACATGCTCCATGCACTTGAGTGGCTTTGTTGGGTAATGGGGAATATATGAATGGGTTTGGGCATAAGAATTTCCGGCACCGACATACTTGCTGGGTTTACTGTTGTCTCCACCCACAGATCATTCAACATAGGACCATTTGATATGGGCTGCGAATAACCTTCATACGATGTTGTGGACATCGATGATAATGGATTGAAAGAGTGATAATGCGGCTGTGATAAAACATTGGGATTGTGCGGGGTTCTCGGAGGAGAATGGATGTCTATGGAGTGCGATAATGGAAATGGCTGGGGACACCGCATTTCATCTGTTGGCGAGAGACAGTATTGCGCGTCGTTTGGAGTTGGCGGAACTAGGTATTGTAAATCATCTGGTGTCAATGGAGTGGGTGGTGCCATGCTTGTCGCCACTAACGGAGGAACCATAAAATCCGAATTGGAAGATGAAGCACCACTAATGTCTAGTGAAGCTCGCATCCCTAGAGGAGAACGGAGGGGAGCCGAAACTTTGCGTATCCCCCCATATCTTGGGCTCAAGCTCGAGGAGAGATTGTGCGAAGATTTGACGTGTCGTAAAGAGTGGGATACCGCCCATGTGGGTGTTCTCGTAGTTGGAGACATCGAAGAGGGTCCAACAAGGGCTTGACTTGGCCCACCGATTCCGATAGCAGCCGGGCGCGGCCGTTTTCGACGGGCTGCAAGATCTAGCTTCTTATCACGACGGCGTGGGAAGATAGTGCCATCGGGCGGAGAGACTTGTGGATCCTGCAACTCTTTCTCAATAGACCGCTCAGCGATGGTCATATTTTGCACAAGGTTTCTCTGACTCGAGTATTTTTGTGGACATGATGGGCAAGACTCTTGTCGTTGAACTCTTATATCTGTAGCGCCAAAGTCCAGAATCGCTGTATGGGGGAAAGTTTGCATAACGGGCTCATCGTTTGGATACGATCGGCCTTTTGACAAACCGGAATGCGCCTCGCATGTGCTGTAAGATACGCAAAAAATGGGTTTATTGCCGGCATCTGATTCCTGTTGCCAGAGTTCAGCGGATCTGAATTCAGTGGGCGGTTGCGAGCTATTCACGTTGGGCGCATCGATAGGTTCCGTGCAAAGGGCGTTATTAAGCTGGCTTGAGATGGACCAAGCGGAAGATTCGAGTTTATCGGCTGTTAGACCGTCATTGCTCTTTTCTGGTAAGGCATTTTTTTCTCGGCTTTGAGGCTCCTCGGCAACATCAACGGTCTTTGTTGTACTTGTCTCATGCGGCCCACGTGGATCTAACTTCCGCGATGGGGGCAAAGAAACGACTTCCTTCACCGGAGGATGGGATGAATTTGATTGATTTCCTAGGGGCTCTGCATTCGAGTTGCCGTCATTTGGGGTTGACACAACTTGGTTCTCGCCCGGCATATGGTCAGGACCAGAAACTTTGTCCGCATATTGTGTTCTTCTAGCATCGGTAGATGAGGAAATTTCTTCTCTTTTTAGGTTTTCAGAGCTTTTCATCGCTTGCATTCTTTTAAATTCCTCTTGACGCTTTTGTTGTTTTTCTTTGGCTCTTCGATTCTGAAACCAGTTCTGTGAAAGGTGAGTTAGTTTCCACTTATATCTACTCTCAAACTGGGTACATACTGCAACTCGAGGTAAAGTGAGGTTTGTTTGCATAGCAAGCTGGCGCTTTACATTACTAGTTGGCTTTGGCTGAGCTCGAAATTGTGCCTCCAAAGTCTCAACTTGTTCCTTCGTCAAACGGGGTCTTGACAGATTTTCGACATACTCATGGTAATCCTCGAAGGGTACTGGGTGTCCATAAAACCCGGGGAATCCGGGGAACTCGCTCGGAGAATAGGAAACAAAACAAGGCTCCGTGGGCGGGTTACACTGGGTAAACGAAGCTGGAACACCATAACCGACGGACGGGTCAATAAAAGGACCAACATTGTGCTCGCCACAGGGAAATGGAGTGTGGATGTAATCCATTTCGGGAGACCTTCGAAGGAATGACCGGACTCCGAACTCTGGAAGTGGAGAGCTCAGATACCCGAGCAAAAGGCGATTCTCCAAGTCAACATTTAGCTCATTGCCTCCGGACAAAGGGCATGATGGTCCTTATATGTGTTGGTGTTAAATATGGAGTGAACACATGTAAACAGGCTCTGGCTCGATTGAAATTAGAGTGTACTCTGTTCAGTTATTTTGGCGATTCAGTAATGAGAGAACAGAGGCCAGAAAGAAAAAGACACAGTATTAAATGAATGAAAGAAGTTGGATTGAATGGCTAATGAGTGTATGACAGTGAGTAAAATGCAATAACAATGATTGACTGGGAGTAAGGAAACAAACGAATGCAATGAGGAGCAAGTGATGAGTGAAGGAGTGGTTGCTGGCGGGAAAGGCGTCCAGGGAGAGGCAGCGCCAAGGTTCAGTTAAACCTGCTGGTAACTTTGCGTTAAGCTTAGGGGAGAGGGATGGACGGGAAAAGACCGTTTCGAGGCATGGATCCTCATTGGCTGGTCCCTGATCAAAAGGGCGGCAATTGGCTCCATCACTGATCGGGTTGGAATGGGACACAATTAACTGGTTACGGAGTACTCCGTAGTCAGCTAGTAGGAAGACGGGGAAGTTGGGAATACCGGCCCCGGCGCGCATACGCGAGAATACCGCAGCATTACCTTCCATGGCAAAAGCATACAGCCCTGTCGAATTGCCGGTGGGTAATGATCTCACATGTAGCTTATATTTTCAACTTGCTGCACAAGCCACTCTAAATTATCCAGCTGATGTTCCACAACAGAAGCAATTCGTTGTACGGAGTACTCCGTACACCTGTTGTCCTACAGGCATAGGCTCCACTAGGCTCAAATTATCCCTGGCAGGATGGAAACGTCTTGATAAAAAGCCCAAAGCGTTCCTCTCCTTTTTCTCTTTAAAAGAAAAGGATTTTAATTCCGTTTGTATTTGCAAATCAAAAATTACATATATTGTTCAAAGCAAGAGCCAATTTAATTTTTCTTTTCTTTTCTTTTCTTTTCTTTTTTTTTTTTTTATAAACCTGGATTGATTCAAGAGCAATTACCTCATTACTTGACTAGCCCGGCTCTAGCTCATTAACGATAGGACAGTGCGGTCGACTCTACATAGCATTAATTGGCCCTCTTCCTGTCTCAAAAGGGCGTCGCTTTCTTCTTGACGGTTGTCCTGTCTTGGATCTCTGTGTTTAACCTGGTTCTCACGGAGTAGTTCATAGCTTAAGGATATATTCTTCTACTTGTCTATGAGCCACTTCTATGTACCGATTGTGGGGGCTTTTGTTAGTTTCGTGGCATGGCATTCTTAGATCAGAAGAAAAGTATGAACATCTCGAGAGCAATCCAGTATTATTGTCATTGTAAACAGTTGCGTATTTCTACTTGGACTTGACCATCATGCTTAATCAGTTTGAAGCTTCGAAGGTCTCGTATAATCCAGTCAGCCCCAGCCTGTTTCAATCGGGTGGGATCATGGGTTGTAGCAAGCGCTAGGACTTTGAAGCCCGCTGCTTTGCCCGCTGTGACACCCGACGGGGCATCCTCGATGACAAGCATTGATGAGTTCTCGTCAAACCCAAGCCGCGAACGCCCCAACTGATAACACTGAGGGTTTGGCTTTCCAATTTTCACGTCTTCTGCGACCACAAGGTTCTTTGGGCGCGCAAGCTTCAGCACGTCTAACCAACCATTTATCAAAGCCTGGGTTCCAGATGTCACAACTGCCCAAGGTGCCCCTGCCTCATCGAGTGCATTTAAAATATCTCTTGCACCAGGAATTTCGACGGCATCGCTACCGTATTCTTTGGGAATCCGACCCTCGATGGAGCTGACATCTGAGCAAGTCTGGAATTAGCATGCATTTTGTATAGAGAGCATAAGGTGAGCTGATATACACGATACGCACATTCCCAGTTGGCTCTTTCTGGAGCATGGATCTTTAGGACATCAATGCTTCTACGGCCATGGGATGTCACAAGGATCATTGCTGGGTCAACGCCAATTTCTTGTCCTATTCTATTAATGTTTAGAGACAAGATAAAATGCTTAGTAAAATCATAAACATGCCATATCATACTGACCTGTGCCAATGCTTCACGATTGCTGTGCGACAAGAAGTTGATGTCAGCAATAATTGCAATATACAGTCTTCCTGAAACCAACCTTCTGTGGAGTCTATTATTGTTCCATCAAAGTCAAACAGGAGGCCATCAAAGGCGTGAACCTGTGGTGGACCAGAGAAATTCGACATTGATCCCATTTTGTTGTCTTTAGTTTGGGAATTTAACTACGCGGGGTAATTAGGGAAGAATTTCAGAAAGCATGGGTCTTGAATAAGGTGCTTGAGGAACCTCTTATTGTATGCATCCATGCACCTCAAGCTAAGGCTTGATTCTCAAGTGAATGCGCTATTTTCAGCCTTATGTCGATCAACAACGAAAAATCTCTGCACATGCGATCATGGCTTCCAAGTGGCTTTCAGGTGGAGTTAAGGTTTTCTCAAACTTCCCTTTGTTACAAGCCCCTCGGGTATACGGAGTACTTCTACGGAGTACAGAGACAGGGGTTGGGACAATAAGTTCCTGCAACAGGCTCCTCCGCATACGGAGTATTGCTCCATTAATAACCACCAGCTTTCTCACTACGGAGTAAACTAATATATAGCTTAGCTTAGTAATTTACTTTGAAATTTCACGTAAGATACTGTTTGTCTGTGAAAGATTAGTTACATTATGGCCTGTCCCTTGATTACTTCTATCATCAGGTGAGCTCTCCTCTTGCTCACAGGAAAATGTTTTGTGATGGCTTAACCATATTTCCACCACTGCCCAAACCCCCCTGATCTCCAGTATAGTTTGCACTGGTGCACTCTCTGATGCCTGGCCATCTGGCTGGTAGACTTCTCCAAACTCTTGTAGAGAAATCCTTTTAACTCCTCCTGCTATTCACGGACCACCCTACCCCGGGCTCCTTTCAACCAAACCTGCAGTGTCTTGAAACTCCAACGCACCTAAGACTGAGGGGCCTGCTATAGAAGTTAACAGGCTTAAGTCCTTGCTGATCTTTATAGTAGCGTTTCAACAATAAGTTGACCCCAAAATACTCAGTGTAGATGACGTCAAAGTATGAAACTCGTGGTGTCAAGCCGTAACAGAGGCAGGCTGACCGAAACTAAATCCAGATATGGTTCGTTTTTTAGGGAAGGCATTGTATTAGGACAAGACGACACAACCATGACATGGAAAAATACCCATGTGCGGGAGTTTGGCAGCAGTTAAGATGGAATAGCTTCAACAGCTGGAATGGTGAAAGGGAGGACAGCTAAAGTGATTTTCATCATTGTTGCTAAGTGCATCGTTTTAGATACATGTTGCAACATATTATCATGATAAGAAAGCTTGAAACATATACTCCGCAATCACTCCAAATTTAAGCCTGGCACAAATTTAATTAGCTATATCCATAAGAAAAGGCCTACTATCAAAATTTCTCACCTTCACAGCATACTTGCGCTGCGGAAAATGCATTTGCTTCTTTCGTTGTTTCTCTGTGATAACTGAAGCTTCATGTTTCGTGAGTCGTCTGCGGATGGCGCGGGTCTGCTTTGGTCGGAGATCAAGAGGGAGGTATTTCTTCTTCTTGTAGAAAAGTCGAAGTTGGGCGCGTTGGTTAGCATTGATGACTGTGAGGACTCGTGCGATCGCTTTGCGAAGATCGTGACTATCCCCAGAATCAAGAAAAACCTTTTATCAGTTCACCATATTTTGGAATCCACAGATTGGAAGACATTTCTCTAACACACATTCTAGTAAGCTTGGATGCGGCACCACCAGCAATCTTTTGAACCCGCAATTGACCCAATTCCGTCTTCAACTCATCGAGCTGTTTCATAAGCTCGTCTTTGTTTTTGCCCCAGAGCTGGCCGGTCTTCACCTTCATGGTCGACTATTAAATCTATTAGCAATGCAAAGTATCAAAGCGCAATTAATAACGTACCATGGTGAGCGGATTTGAAGTTGTCGTGTTGATATCGACTTGAAGTTGGGGGTTGGCATCGCAATTAATTTTGTGGGCTAGGGCTGAAGTCTTTGCTAACGTGGATAGGCGAGTAACATCACGTGACTAACCGACAAGGCTGCAGTTTTGAAAACGCTCAACCCCAAGACCTATTAAGTCACATCACGGCCTTTTTGATCTTGAAGCCTTCGTACGAGATATCAAACTTACAAGCTTCATGATCTTTAAGATGCACGGGCTAAACTCCTCTAGCACGTTGACCATTACTCCTTCGAAACTTGTGTAATAGGACAATGTCTTCATCAACCGGTAATGGGTGGGCCCAACTCCGCCAACAGGCTCGATCGCTTGAGACTCAGGTATATGCTGCTGAAGAGTGCTTTCTTCATGTGTGCCACTTGCTAACTACCTAGACCGAGTCGTTATTCCATACCTATGCCCAGTACGCTTCCGCGGCTCAAATCCCCGCTCAGCCTTCGGAAGAAGAACAACGTATTGAAATTCAATTGAAAGATCTCCTTGAGCGTGTGCGACAGGTCCTTGGGTCTAGTTTTCCAAACGCAAGTACTAATAACCATCCCTAGCGTGAATATCTCATCTCTCAACTGGCCCGACTCTTGGATTCGGAATCTGGCCTAACCGCTTCCGCCTTGAAACAAAATAATCTTTCCCGACACCGAGCAGTTCTTCAAGAGCATCAACATGAACTTAGACGCCTGCACAATGCTATCTCTGAAACTCGCGATCGTGTGAACTTGCTTTCTAATATTCGCTCAGATATTAGCGCATACCGCGCGTCAAATCCACCAATTGCGGAAGCTGATTATATGTTGGAAGAACGGGCACATCTGGATAATAGCCACAATATGATGGACAGTGTCCTTAGTCAGGCATATGCTGTTAACAATAATTTCGTCTTGCAGAGGGAAACCTTGGCGAGCATAAACCGCAGAATAATCGGTGCTGCGAGTCAAGTCCCTGGAGTGAATTCGCTGATAAACCAAATCGGAGCCAAAAGAAGGAGAGATGGGCTCCTTCTTGGTATCTTTATAGGTATTTGTTTTCTAATGTTGTTGTATTTTCGTTGATACTGCTATTCTTCGTTGACCGTCTAGTATCGATCGACCAATTGATCAAGAGAAGAATAAGCGGATTTCAGCACTGAATTAGGAGCAGGATTTCACTCAGGAAACACTCGTACAAATGCTATAGTCGTATATATGTACATACGATGATCAATAGCCTTGTTTATTTGGGACGCTAATGGACACGACGTACGGTGTACCGTCCGGAGAGACTTCTCATGATCGGCCCCACGATGTGTCTCGTACATTTTGGGTTGCTGTTGGAGTGATTGACCACAGTGCAGATCTAGGCTTCAAATTCATTGACCTATGCTCATGTTCCTCCGCTTTTCTTCAACCAGTCTTCGCAGACCATTATTAAGAGATTCCATCTCAGGTGGAGTGGCAACGCTGTTGCCGGCCCACCTAATTCGGCAAACTTCATCCAAAAGATATACGTATCCAACCTTGCCGTTTATGATCCCGATTTGCTCCTTCAATTGATCTGTAAACCCTTTCGTCACTAGAAAGTACTTGCCATGTTGTGCTTCAGGTAATTTCTTTCGCAGTCTTGACGTGAAGCTCCTGATAAGAAGAGCCTTTAACCAATTATCCTCGACATTGATTTGTACTTGCTGCACAAGTTCATTCGACCCTTGAAGTATCTGATGCAACGTTGGGTTCTGCTTTATACCAACAAAAGAAGCAGCTTGCTGTTCTGCCCAGAGACTTGAGAAGACACTGACAATAGAGATTTTCCCTCGAAATACTGGGGTGGTATGCTGTAACGGATTCAACCGATCTAGCGTTCGTCCAAAAAGGTTTGGGAAGAAGAGTGCTTTGTCACTTTTAAAGATACGCTGGTTTGATAGAAAAGCTTTTCCTTCTTGGTAGCGCAATCCGGTCCATTCACGAAAATACGGTTTCGAAAACTCCATCACACTATTAATATTTAAATCCAAATAGATCTATGTTAGCTTATACCTAAAGAATATAATAAGATGGGGAGAACGGTACAGACAGTTGAATGCGGCGTTCCATGTGCTTTTCGTGATTCATAAACTCAGCTTTGCGCTGGCGAAGCGTTCGACTATCAACTCCTGTGTTTTGCCCAACCTGAGGAGGGTATGGTAACCCTAGAGGGCGATTGAGTGGTTTCGGCCCAATTGCATCATCCTTCTGAAAGTTGTTTGCCTCTGATATTCCGGGTGACTTAGTACTCGCCTGCTTCCGCCAGGATCCATTGGGGGGAATACAATGAGGCGCTTGACCGAGTTTGAGATTCCGATGTTGATAAGAGCAGCACGGCCTTTGCAGTGCTGATGCTTTATGAAGCAGGATAGTGTGACGATTTCTCATAGTTGGGAGGTTCGGAAAATTTTCCCCTCGCTATTTTGAAGTTTGCAAAGTTTGTCAAGCATGAATTCTGTAACGAGTAACTACACGGAGTACTCCGTAGTGTGCACTAATCAACATTAGTAACAACCCAATGGATTTTTAACCAACTACGGAGTACTCCGTACAGAGTACAAATTTAAATCTGACCTAATGTACGGAGTACGAAGGTGTGAATTAAAAAGCCTTTACTCCGTACATTTAACCAAACCTGTACAGAGTATAATAGCCATTATTTATAATTTTTCAAAAGAAATCAAGAACTTAGTGTGGAGCGCGGGTGTATATTTAACTAGAACCCTTGAGATTTGGCTAGCCCCCGCAAATGCATTCTGTACTCCGTACGGAGTACTCCGTACTTAAAACGCGTTGTCCTGATTATTTCCACGCGGATACGGGCCCTCTGCTGATGGTATCGAGATTTTCCACCATCCACAACCCCCCGCAAATACATGTCCGTAGAACAACTGTTTTCACAAGCAAGCGAAAAGAAGCTAAAGACTTGGGGGATGTTGCATCTTCGGAGACCGCACAACACCTTGCACATCGTCTCTTTGGTTGCTTTGACTTTGCTTGTGGCTCCCCCAGTTGGGTTATTGTTTTTTTGAGAATATCGACTTCATTCCGCCGCCGGAATAGCCTTGTTAACTTGTCATCATCGATCCCTAACCAGCTGTAGTCCCAAGTGCATAAATGCAATAGGTCAACATCTGGTCGAATCAAAGTCATAGTATTTGTCAGGATAGTCACAACAGCTGGCTGCAGCACCGGCGGTACACTAGCAGTGATGAGTAAATCCCTCTCTGGGGTAGACCTGTCAGTGCTTCCAAAACCAGCATTTTGATAGGTGTATTTGATCACGTTATCGATGCTCAAGAGAAATTTTTCGTATACATCCACCCTCAAAGGCGATTCTTCGATGAGCCTTACGATATTAGAATATACGCCAAAGGACTCAGTACTGAGGTTCGTAGCACTTCGAAAACTGCTCGGTATCCCTCGAAGGCCGCGACATATATACTTGAGGAATGCACGAGGGATGCTGGAAAGGACGAGAAGCATCGAAAACGACTCTAATTTTTTGTCTTAGAGAAAAAAATTAAGGTCAACGAGATCATGTAGAGTGAAACAATAATATTCACCGCCTTACCAGATTGGTCACCTGAATGTTTGTCAAAAGATGAAGCTATTTCAAACAGGTCGTCAATAAGATACTTCGCCAGATCAAGAGCCCACCTCACATTGCCGAGCACCATTCGTAATATATCTAGAGATTCCCACATATCAGATACTGCCCCCCAAAAGTAATAATCTCAAGCGTCCCATACCTGGCTCATGACATTCCGAATCGCTGCCACTTTTGTTAAAGTGAAGAAAATACGCAAAGAGAATGGAAATTTGCCTCAGCTGTAATGTGAACCACGGTATAGCTGCAGCAAGATTGCGCTGTTCCAATTGCCCATTAAATCCAAGAGCAGCTTGCATACTGAAGCACTTTTGGATATATGGATTGTTCATAAGCTTGTCTTGCTCGATTGTAAAGTCAGCATTCACAGATAAGGCATGATAGACTTCAGTGATAAATGTTTTTCGAGTATCTAGAAACAATCAGCAACAATGCTTATGACATGGTTTTGAACATGTGCATTACCAGGAGTGAGAGATCGGGCTGCAATCATCATCACATCGTCGCTGCTGCTGTCATTGCTACATGCATGTGAAAATGCTAAAGCAAGAGCAGCTACAGCAGCACCAAACTGTTCTATAAATATAGATGTCAGACAGCATCATGTAGCTCACATACATTAGCCACCATACCATCATTATACATCCCATGTTCTATCCCGAATGAATGCTCCATAACATGAAGGTGAAGCTCAGAATCCTCATCAAGGGTTACGGCTAAGCAGCCATTGGGAGAAAAAGATATGCAAGTTACTGGAAAAGTTAGCAGAAGGCCGACACAACCACATCAATATAGAATAGGCGTACTGCATCCAATATTGGGGAGGTTGAACCCTGCTTGAGGCATACTTGAAATGGTTGCAAGATCCTCATTATCACTAATTGCATTCATGGTATTTGCGTCATAAAATGAAATGCTGCCATCATCAAATGTCAGGGAAACAACGCTCCCAGCTTCAAAATAATCAATTGAAAGCACACGTTTATCAAAATGTACATCATCCCATCTAGTGAGTTCGGTTTTGGGCTAATAAAATAGTATTAGTGGGGACCACACTTCCTAGGATCGAAGAATGTAAAATAACTTACTGTCAGGTTAAGTGTCTGCCTTTTTGGGGGTATTTCATCAAAAGAGGAGTGGGTACTTTGGCCGGTCGATTCAAGAGCCCAGCGAACGATACTAGAAGTGCCGTTGAATTGCCGCTGAGTTTCCAAGGCAGACACGGGAATCGCAAAAGCCGCTAGGATGTACGGTTCCACATATGACCCAGCCGAACCATCTGACGCTATCCCAACAATGTCAAGATGAGTGAGAATAGGCATCACCCTGGCAGAGGGCGAACGTTCATAATCATTGTCAGCCCTTTGGAACACACTTCTCTGAATTTCGGTCCTAATATGAGTTATTTGGATTGTTGGTGTCTGTGCCACACTAATACCAACTGGCTGTTGCTGTGTTGTATCAACGGGTGCGGCGTCCCATTTGATCTGGACACGATATACAAAAAGCCTATGTTGCGTAGAGTACGTGACCATTAAGATCGACCCACCTATTTTATTATGAATGAGCGCGGTTGAGCACATAGCACAGGGTGAGAGCAGAACCTTGAGAAGCGGAAAGCGCAGCATGCGTCAAGATATCGTCGGAACATGAAACGGTCTGCAGATCCACGTGTACTTCATTCCACTTGGGGTCCTGGCTTTGGTATAGAAGTCTAATATGACCCGATCGAGTCACACATACCAAAGCGGATTTGTTGAGTGGATGAAATGGACCTAGGGGGCGACGGACATAACGAGAATATACCCATCGACCATTTGTTTTGGAGGCTTTATTGAATGCATGCACCTAAGGCTATTGGTTAATGACTGCTTCCAGAAGTATAACTAACAAGGCAGCTCACGGCACCTACAGGCCGGTTCACACCAAGCCACATCAAACCAACTGGCTGGTTACCATCATCATCGGGGTCAATGACTATTGAGCGTGAGACAGCAAACGCATTAAGTGCAATGGACATGGACACAATCATGACTCGGCCACAAGAATCCACAATTGCAAGATCAGATCCTGATTCATGCCAGCAGAGGTGAATAAAGGTATGGCCACTTTGTGCTTCTGCTATTTTACAGCGAAACCTCCCATCACATAAGGACCATTCACCATCATCTGCGTTGCAAAGGATATTTTGTAAGAAGACCTTTTGGCCGTCATTGGAGATATACGCGATCGCACCCAGTTTTGACCAGGCTAATTTCCTATTAGCAACTCAGTTTCCTCCCAAAAGGGTTTCCGCAAAGCGACAGCAGAAAGCAAACATACCGACAGCATCCCGAAAGCCGTAACTCGTCAAATCTTTGAGATAAACCTTTCCAGGTCGGTGTAGGGGCGGCAAGGCCCAACTCCAAGGAATTGGGGTCACCAAAAAGATCGTCCACATCAATGCTGTCATCCATAGCTGGCTGTATTCAGGAAGATCCCAGTTGATGCAAGTATTTAGATGCAGAGAAAGTCACGGTTAGCCAACGTAGTTATAGGTAAGCACTCCATACCGAGCACAGAGCACGGCTGATAGAACTCTCGGGAGGCAAGCTTCCAATGAATGCGAGCGACCCAACTTTTAGTCCGGAGATAAGTTCCCTCACCATGCAAACAGTGCAAACTTCACAAGTTATCAAGTGAAAATTATTTTCTGTCTAGAGGCAAAACGTCCTGCAAGCCCATCATCTTGGCTGAGCAAAATATATCACCTTTGCATAGTATAAATAGTGTGACTAAATGTCTGGAATTAAGCGTGCAGTCCAATGCACCCAGGACAATGCCAGGAAAAGAAGCAAACTGAAAAAGCTGTCGCCAACACCCCACGGCAGACAGCTCAACGAAGCCAAGCAAGTGAAGACCCAAGCTGTGAGGAAACCTTTTGATTCCGATACCCAAAGCCTATCGCCGATGAACTCTCAATCTGGGGCACCTGGGGAAGAAGTACAGCACCAAAATGGAGGGACATTTATTGACGGAAGCAATCGGCCTTTAATTGCGCCTTTAAAAGCGGCCTCCCCGGGTATGCGCGGTCTAGGTATGTATTTCTATTCCTTGCTGTTCACAAGGGCAATTCTAAAATAAATCTGCAATAGCAATGTCGAATGATATAAACATAAAGCAGAAGTTGCTTGCCCGGCAACGAAAACTAGCCAAACCAAACTCGGACTTGATTGTTAGGACGAAGAAAATATGGGAACGATTGCGCCTGAAATCACATGTCACTCGTGAAGAAAGGGAGCAATTAGTCACAGAGCTCTACAGTATTATCACTGGCCGTGTGAATGAATTTGTGTTCAAGCATGATGCTGTGAGAGTTATTCAGACTGCGCTGAAGTACGGCACCGCCAAGCAACGGAAAGCGATTGCTGTGGAATTAAAGGGAACCTATCGAGAATTAGCGGAAAGCAAGTACGGCAAATTTCTACTGGCCAAACTTGTTGTGCATGGAAATTCAGAAATTAGAAACATGATCATACCAGAGTTCTATGGCAATGTTGGAAAATTAATGAGGCATCCAGAAGCATCTTGGATTCTGGATGATATCTACCGGATAACGGCGACATCCCTACAGAGGAATATGCTTCTACGCGAATGGTACGGCCCTGAATTCGCCTTATTCAAGACCGATGCTGCTGCTCAACTGACCGCACAACTGTCGCAAATATTGGAGGAAACTCCTGAAAAAAGAAATCCCATTATGCAGCATCTGTTTGGGTCCATCAATCAGTTCATTCAAAAGAAAACGACGGGTTTTACCATGCTCCACGATGCAATGCTCCAGTACTTCTTAAATGCGAAGCCTGGTAGCGCTGAGGCCACCGAATTCATGGAGCTTCTGAAAGGAGATGAAGATGGAAGCCTGGTAAAAAATCTGGCTTTTACCAAATCAGGGTCGAGGTTGATGTGTCTCGTCCTTGCGTACTCGAACGCTAAGGATAGAAAATCATTTCTGAGAATATATCGTGGTATGATTTCGATGCTAGTGGAGGACGTGCATGCCCGAACCATTATCCTTGTCGCCTATGAAGTGATTGATGATACGAAACTCACAGCCAAATTGATCTTTCCTGAACTATTTGGTGAGAGTCTTCCAGAAGCAGAGCGACGTGATTACTTACTCCGCCGAGTCAATGATGTATCCCATAGAATACCTTTACTTTACCTTTTTGGAGGGGAAAAATTGTCGTGGTTGCTCGGCAGCGTCGACGAAGAAATTCTCGAAGAAGTCTGCAGAATCAGGTCCTGGACATCAAAGAAAGACCCCACAGTCCGTCGAAACGAACTGATTAACGCAGCATCACTTCCTATGCTCCATTTTATCGCTTCGACTGCGGAATCGCTTGTGGCTACAAGCTCTGGCTGCCGGTGTATTACAGAAGTGCTCTTTAGTGCTCATGGTGATAAGAAACCAGCTCTTAAGGCTGTTGCCGCGACCGTGCGATCAAAACCGGAAAACATGGGTACGCCAAGTGCTGGACGCATGTTAAAGGCTTTAGTACAAGGTGGTCGGTATAATGCCGCACACCGTTGCGTGGATAAGGCTCAGGATCCCTTAGAGTTTCATGCCCTGCTATATGAGCATATTCAACAAGGTATAATGTCGTGGGTAACAGGACCAAATCCGTTTGTTGTGGTCGCGTTGGTGGAAGCTAGCGATTTTGGTAGAAGAGGCGAACTCATCGATACGTTACAATGTCACATGCAAACACTCCGAGCACTGGCCTCCAAGTGCCCACAGGTGGACGGCAACAATGGGTTCCAAGGAAATAGTGCTGCGGCAAAGCTTCTGCTGAATTTCATTAACCCTGACTCGACATCAATAGCTGAGCCTGTGGCAGAAAACACACCATAGGTCTGCAAAATAACATGATGTTTCGTTTTCATCATCTAGAATTTGAATATTTCCTAGAGAAGAATCTGAATCTTTTGACGCTGATAAAAAAAATAAACAAAAGAACTATGCTATGGAAAAGTGACGTGTTCACTCCATCATTTCATCTCCTTGATAATCCTCATTTCCCCATAAACCTTCCATCTTAAACTCTTTGGACCACTCAGACACGATTTTTTTTGTATCCAATCCAATGCTTGTAGACGAACAATCAGTGGAAGAAGCAACCTGTAACATAGGCGGCTCTAGCCATCCCTGAATACGGCCATCCCGCCAGTCGGTGATGACAGTCATCGCAGCACTATTTATATTTGGCACACCCCCCTTGCCCAACCGTCCTCGTTTTCTGGCAACTTGGACAAGGAAATCGTTCGTTTTCTCTCCGTTAAGAGGGAACAGAGGTGGTATACTATAAAACTCAAGCATTTTGGAGATGAGGCCGGAGGAGGACAGTCTATCCAGGAGAAGCGCAACGGCAGGAATAGGATCGGATATTTGCTTTGGCGGGATTGCATTAAGGAGGATTAGGCGCGCTTCTTCGTTAAGCTTCTTATCTAATGGTTTCCTTTTATCAGAGTTTGGGAAGACGATCCCGGGAGAATCAATAAGCTTTAATTTGTTGTCAATTTTGATCTCTCTTAAGCTTGTAGTAATACCGGCTTCTGCCCCAACCGGACATGTTGAAGCAGCACCCCGGTTTAGGCGTGAGACCAGTGCGTTGATGACGGACGATTTTCCAACGTTTGGATAGCCGATCACTCCCGCTGATATTGAACGCTTCAGCTGCTTACTATGAACATATGACTTTAGTGCTTTCAATAGAGCCTCGGTTGTCGCTTTCACGGTCATTTGCTTGTGGTCAAAACTGTTCGAACTCGGTGCTCCAGTTGATGCCCTTAGTGGTAGGGTTGGGAAGGATCTTCGAAGATGCGAGAGCCAGCCTTTTAATATCGACGGGGGGACCAAATCGATTTTGTTCAAGATTAATATCAACCGCTTCGATCCACCGTCTGCCGCCATAATTTCTCGTTCTACTTCCTTGGATCTCGTGCCTTCAGGGTCTCGCGCATCCAAAACATATAATACCACGTCGGCGGCTTCAATGACTTGCTTAAACATCTTATCGAACGCCCGTCTCGAGGTTTCTATCAAGACTGGACCCGAAGACGGCTTCACTGAGAGAATATTGTCGCCACCGAAGCCGCTCTCATCTTCGGTTTTGTCGACGTCCTCATCCACTTTATGGAATTGTTCGTCACCATTTTGTTCTGCGTACTCTATCGCTCTTGCTTTCGCCGACGCTAATAAAGCAGCCATAGGACCGGGGTCATCTCCATCTTCCATCTCGTCATCTATTAGATCATGGACCCTGTCTAATTCTTCGACATGAGCTAATTCGGCATCGGGCAATGAATCAACGCCACCGAATCCTCGACGCCGAGGGAGCACCTCCTCGCGCAATCGCATGGCTTCTTCTTCCTTCAACCTTTTCCGCTCTTCAATTTCATGGAGAACCTTGTCTTTATATGGGAATAAGTTTGGAATGCCAGGATCCTTTTTCAATTTGGAGCGCCACTGTGGATTCTATGTCAAATAGTCAGCATCTACACCATGAACATATACACATATATGCTGAATGGAACAAACTTTTTTCGCTAATTTCCGTTGCTTCCTCTGTTTAGCTGTGCTGGCCTTTTCAATCTTGTGACGCAGACGGACAGGAGTCCTCTTTGAGCTCTTGCCTGAAAGAAAAAAAAAAAAAAAAGGTAAGTTTTAGAGGTATGCCATACATCAAAGCCTTTAAAAATATTTTCTTTTCCAATAATGTACATACCAAGCTTCACCATTTTGCTGGTGTACTAACCGACAAGCTCTATCAAGCCCTTCAACCTTGTTCTGGCTCTTTGAGGTGTGCTCTCTTTTCTTTCTTTTCTTTTCTTTTTTTTTTTTGAAGTGAACTTACTCCATCGTCTTTCAGATCAGAGGAACTAAAAATGCACCACACTGCTCATTACATAAGGTGATCCAGTTGCAATAACTATGGAACTATGGAGTAGGATGCTTGCTATTGGTTGCTATCTGGGTGTTAGGTGTTACATAATCCCTCATCCTCACAACATAACATAATTCCCAAGCAAGCCAATCACCCAAGTGAACCAATCACCAAAACCACTGTATCCCAACTAGTTAGTTTTAAATTCAAATTATCTCAACACAACAATGCTCAATTAAATTTAATTAAATTACACTTGATTGAGGACACCTTAATCTTGTATGCTCAAGAGTGCCACAGTTGTTACAGTATTGTGGAGCTTGTTAGTATGGAGCAGGCTCAGATAGTAAGAGATTGCAAGATTGAATAACTGCTGGTTCAACAGATACTGCAGGCTTTGCAGATACTGTAGATAAATTTAGAAGACTTTTAATCTCTTCTTTAGTTAAATCTTCTGCTTCTTGTTGAATTTGATGTCTAGATCTCTTGTATTTTTGCTTTTCTATCTTATTTATGTTAAATATATTCTGTTATTACTTCTTTATAATTGTGGCACTAATTATTCTGTATTTGCAGGTCTTGATAATTTGATTAAAATCTTTTATAAAGTCTTGAAACTAACTCTTCACTAAGCTCTTGATCTTATTTATCTGCTGATGTAATTACTGAGAATTACTAAATATTTGAAGTATTTAGAATGTGATTAAATTACTAGAGCTGCTGTATGAGAGGGTAAAGATCTATAGTTAAATATCCAGCTGCTGAAGAATATAGTCAGGTTGAAAGAGTACTACTTCAGCTATCTTGAAGTTATTTTAAATAATCTGAAATTTGAAGACTGCAGTATGTACTGTAGAATAAGTATCTAAAAAATCTATCTTCTAAATAATATTAAATTCAAGCTGCATTTGCTGCTGAACTAGATCTTTATATACTTACTTTAAAACTGAGAAAATGCTCACATTTAGTAACTGCAGAAGATAAAAGAAATAAGATAGCATATAAAGATATATTATAATATTATTCTTGCAAATTTGATTAAATTCTGAGATAAGATAACTACTGTATTTATCTAGAATAAAAAGAATAAAACTGCTAACTTTGTATAGATTTGCTACAGAAATAAAGATCTATTAAAGTTATTTAAGATTTATTTTATCAGTAGTCTAGTTATTTAAACTAGTATCTAGTCTTTAGTTTTCTAGAAGATTTTTAAATTACTCTTTCAACAAGCTCTGATCTTTAAGAATAATATAAAGAAATAAAGCTTATTCTGAAGCATTCACTGCTTTGATTATAGTTACTTACTTATAATTATCAGACTGTAGAAGCTTTGCTCTATTATAGTACTTACTACTAGTAATAATTTTAGTAGTGGTGCAGAGTTTTATAGTTAAGCTAGTTTTATTAAAGTTATATATATTCTCTAGCAGAATTCCATACTCAGTAATTATATTTCTTAAGATCTTAAATTAATTCTTTATAATCTGCTAATCTTTATATTTAGCATGATTATAATTATAGTGTCTAGAATAGCAGCTTTAGAGCTGTGAATAGTGCGTTACTAGATTTAACACCCAGTTCTTGTCAATGTAGAGAGGGAGTTGGTGGAGATGGTAGAATTCTGTATAGTAAGAAGATAATTAGCTGTATCTTCAACCAATACAGACTAGAGAGGAATTTCTTATTTAGCTTGATCTAGCATCTATTTAACTAGTCTATCTTCTTCAGCAGAAGATAATTTGTATGAATTTGCATGTAAATTCATCTGTAGAGCTTGTTTTTTAGCTGATTATAAAATGTAGTGTAGGAAATATTATAGATTCTAGCAGCTTTATGAATAAAGGTAATTTCTTGATTTTTAATAAATTTTATCACAAGTTCAAGTTTTCCCTCTCTCTCAATTAAATTCAAAGAATTTTATTGTGAATTGGTGGCATAATTGTGTGTTGAAGTGGAAAAGTTCTTTAATTAAGTGAAATTTTGAAATGGTGATTGGTTTGCTTGAGTGATTGGCTTGCTTGGGAATTATATTAACTAATCTAACTATCAAACTAATGGAGAACTAACTCAGATACATGGTGAATTCAGACACTTTTGCACATGATATAGTTTGATTTTTCAGCACCAATCAAATCTCTTAGTCTTCATTATTGTACATTCATTTCACAGCAAAAATGAATATAAACAGACCTTTTTTGGCTGCTTCAGTGGTAAAGAATGAAGAATTAAGTTAATAGAGAGCTGATATATTATATGATATTTCTCTTTCAAGTTTAAATAATTATATTTCTTGTCATACAAATAAAAAGATAGGTGATTCAAAGAAACAAAAAATTAGTTTCTGAAAAAGCTGCTCTTGTACAATGGATCCTTTGTATGATTTTATTTACTCCAGTTGTATGGAGTCTGTGTACAACACCTAGGTATAGCTTGCACCTTTACGTGGTGCCTGGGACTAGTAGCCTATTTGGTGACACCAAGCAAGCCATCTCAAAAAGGTTTTATATCACGTGCAAAGTGTCTTAGTTCACCATGGCAGATGTTAACTAACTAGTTTAATGTATTCCACAACTGAGCCGGGACAACCAAGCGAGCAGGACACCAAAATACACATACAAATTTCAACTTTTTGCTCTCTTATATATTAACAAGTCTATGCCTGATCATTATAAAATGAAGAAGATACTATACAGATATAATAAACTTTGTAAATTATAAGAATTATTTAAATATAATAATTATTTCTTAAGTTATAGTATTTTATTATCTTTTTACTAGCATATATCAAAGTATCTTCACAAATAATAGAGTTAAATAAATCAAATTGATAATACTATTTATTAAGTATCTATATACTCTACATCTCAATTCTAAAGTCTATATTCAACAATGTTGTTGAGATATAAGAGAGCAAAAAGTTGAGATTTGTATGTGTATTTTGGTGTCCTGCTTGCTTGGTTGTCGCGCTCAGTTGTGGAATACATTAACTTAACTAACGTAATTCTACACCAAACTGGATACCACACTAAGTCAGATACTAAAATCATCATATCCCAAATACCTAGGTTTTAATTCAAAATATCTCAACACCACAACACTTAAATTAAATTAAATTACATACAGTTGAAGATATCTTAATCTTGTATATCTGAGAGTATTACAATTGCTGCAGTGTTGTGAAGCTTATTAACATAAAGCAGACTCAGATGGCAGAGACTTACAGAATTAAATAACTAGCTAATTAATAGATACTGCAGACTTTACAGATGAAACTAGAAGACTTTAAACTTTTTCACTAGTTAAATCTTCTTCTTGTTAAATTTAGCATCTGGATCTCTTGTGTTTTTACTTTTCTATCTTATTCATATCAAATATATTCTGGTATTGCTTCTTTATAATCATGGTGCTGATCATATCATATTTGTAAGTCTTGATAATTTAATCAAAGTCTTTTACAAAGCCCTGAGTCTGCTGATCTTCTATAAGATCTTTAATCTTATCTGCCTGCCAGGGTAATTGCTATGAATTGCTAGATGTTTAAAGTATCCAGAATATAATTAAATTGCTAGAGCTGCTATATGGAGAGATAGAGATTTGAAGTTGAATATCCAGCTACTAGATAATATAGTTAGACTGGAATAATACTATTTTAGTAGTCTTAAAGTTATTCTGAATACTTTGAGCTTTGAAAGCTTTTGCACAGATTGCAGAATAAGCTTTTAAGAAATTAATCTTCTGAATAGCATTAAATTTCAGCTATATTTACTGTTAAACTAGATCTTTATATATTTGCTTTAGCACTGTAAAAATACTTATATTTAAAGATTACAAAAGATATAATAAATATAGCAGCATGCAAAGTGTAATAATTTTATTATTCTTACAGATTTAATTAAATTCCAGTATAAGATAGCTGCCATATCTATCTAGAATAAGAAGAATAGAACTGCTAATCTGATGTGACTTTGCTGCAGAAATAAATAGTCTAGTAAGCTATTTGATTTCTATCTCATCTGTAATCTAATTATTAACACTAATATCTAGTCTTTAGTCTTCTGAAAGATCTTCAAATTAATCTTTCTACAGACTCTAATCTTTAAGAATAATGTATAATAATAATATTCAGTCAGAAATATTTACTGCCTTAATTACAGTTACTTATTTATAATTTTCAGACTGTAGCAACTTAGTCCAGCTGTAGCACTCACTACTAGTAATAATCTTAGTAGTGGTGCAAAGTCTTATTGTAAAGTTAATCTTATTAAAGTTGTAGATATCTTTAGATAGAATCTCATGCTCAGTAATTATACTCTTCAAGATCTTAAATTAACTTTAAATAATCTTTATATTCTCATATTTAATCTAGTTATGATTATAGTAATATAAATAACAATATTAAAGCTTTGTACAGTGTTTAATTAGTTTTGAAATCTAGTTCTTGCTAACTTAGAAGAGAGTAGTAATAGAATACTGTAGAGAAAGAAGATAATTAGCTGTATTTTTAATTAATACTAATCAGAAAAGAAATTCTTGTTTAGTCTAGTTCAGTATTTATTTAACTAGCTTATTTTCTTCAGTAGAAGATAATTTAGCTGAATTTGCATATAAATTCATTCATAAAGGCTGTTCTTTTAGTTAATTATATAGAGTAGAATAAGGCACCTTAAATAGCCTTGCTGCTTTACAAATTGAAAGAATTTCTTACTTTTTGAAAGCAGAAATTGCAAGTCCAATTCTTCTCTCTTGCTCTTGAGAATTTGAAGACTTTTTATTGCAAATTAATGGCATAATTGTGTGTTGAAGTAGATGGGTAGTTAAATTAAAAGATATTTTGAAATGGTGTCTGACTTAATATGGTGTCTAGTTCAGTGTGGAATTACATTACCTGCAAAAATGCTGTAACTAACTAACTACTCTGTAATGTAATTCCCAAGCAAGCTAATCACCTAAGTGAACCAATCACCAAAACCACTATATTCCAACTAGTTAGTTTTGAATTCAAATTATCTTAACACAACAACACTTAATTAAATTCAATTAAATTACACTTGATTAAGGACATCTTAATCTTGTATATTCAAGAGTATCATAATTGCTACAGTATTATAAAGCTTGTTAATATAAAGCAGATTCAGATAGTAAGAAATTGCAGAATTAAATAACTGCTAGTTTAATAAATACTGCAAGCTCTGCAGATATTGTAAATAAATCTAAAAGATTTTAAATCTCTTCTCTAGTTAAATCTTTTACTTCTTATTAAATTCAGTATCTAGATCTTTTGTGTTTTTGCTTTTCTATCTTATTTGTATTAAATATATTCTAGTATTACTTCTTTATAATTAATTATTCTATATTTACAGATCTTAATAATTTGATTAAAATCTTCTATAAAGTCTTGAGACTAATTCTCTACTAAGGTCTTGATTTTATTTATCTGCTGGTGTAATTACTAAGAATTACTAGATATTTAAAGTATTTAAAATGTGGTTAAATTACTAGAACTACTGCATAAAGAGATAGAGATCTGTAGTTAAATATTCAGCTACTGAAAAATATAATTAAATTAAAAAAGTATTATTTCAGCTGTCTTGAAGCTATTTTAAATAATCTAAGATTTAAAGACTACAGTATATACTGTAAAGTAAGTATCTAGAAAATCTATCTTTTGAATAATATTAAATTCAAGCTATATTTACTACTGAACTAGATCTCCATATACTTGCTTTAAAACTGAGAAAATACTCACATCTAGTAACTGCAAAAGATGAAAGAAATAAGATAATATATAAAGATATATTATACTATTATTCTTGTAAATTTAATTAAATTCCAGAGTAAGATAACTGCTGTATCTATTCAGAATAAGAAGAATAAAACTGCTAGCTTTGTATAAATTTACTACAAAAATAAAGATCTGTTAAAGTTATTTAAAATCTATTTCATTAATAGTTTAGTTATTTAAACTAGTACCTAGTCTTTAGTCTTCTAAAAAATCTTTAAATTACTCTTCTAACAAGTTCTAATCTTTAAGAATAGTATAAAAAAGTAGAACTTATTTTAAAGTATTTACTACTTTAATTATAGTCATTTACTTATAATTATCAAACTATAAAAACTTTACTTTGTTATAGCATTTACTACTAGTAATAATCTTAGTAGTGATGCAGAGTTCCATAGCAAAGCCAGTCTTATTAAAGCTATATATATTCTCTGGCAGAATTTTATACTTGATAATTATATTTCTTAAGATCTTAAATTAATTCTTCATAATTTACTGATCTTTGTACTTAGTATTTTTATAATTATAGTGTCTGAAATAGCAGCTTTGAAGCTCTGAACAGAATGCCACTAGATTTGACACTTAGTTCTTGCCAATATGTAGAGAGAGATTGATGGAGATAGTGAAATTCTATATAGTAAGAAGATAATTAGCTGTATCTTCAATCAATACAGACTAAAAAAAGATTTCTTATTTAGCTTAGTCCAGTACTTATTTAACTAGTCTATCTTCTTTAGCAGAAGATAATTTGTGTGAATTTGCATATAAATTCACTTATGAAGCTCATTCTTTTAGTCAGTTATAGAGTGTAGTGTAGAGAATATTATAAACTCTAGCAGCTTCATGAATAGAGATAATTTCTTGATTTTTAATAGATTTTATCACAAGTTCAAGTCTTCCCTCTCTCTCAATTGAATTTGAAGAATTTTTATTGTAAATTGGTGACATAATTGTGTGTTGAAGTGGAAGAGTTCTTTAATTAAGTGGAATTTTGAAATGGTGATTGGTTTGCTTGAGTGATCAGCTCACTTGGGAATTATGTTAGTTAACTAGTTATTATTAACTAATAAATGCATTTTTAAATAAAAAAGTTATAAAGATTTAAAAAAAAATTAAGCATTTGAAAGAGAACTTTAAGCAGAATTGTAAATATTCTTATTATATCTCTGAAAAACATCTTATTATTATTATTAGTATTACTTTAAAAAAGCAAACATCGTATAGGGCAGGTAATTACAGATTACTCTGCACTAGACTGCTATTATCTGGAACTGCATGTCAAACAAGCCATGGCTACCCAGAAATCCACTGATAATGCTGAAAATAAGATCAGCATCCTGGAGGTTGACACTTGTGTGAAAAGTGGAAAGCAGCATGCTGCAGAGTTAGGGATGAATGTTGAAGTATGAGTTTGACAATATGTCTTCAGTCTTTTGGCCCACATTCTTTCTTAATATCAACTTGAGGCGTGACTGAGTCTCCATGTGCAATTAATCTTTGAGAATATGTCAGTCTTGCTAACTATGGCTCATCATTGGAACACTTTGCAGGATTTTCTTCTTCCACGGACTCTGACACAGAGATTAGCTAAAGGAGCCTTGCCGCCCAATACTTCCATCCAAAAAGATGCATTGCTGGCAATCACAAAGGCAGCAACAGTCTTTGTATCATATCTTTCTTCCAAGTGAGTAATAGTAATGCACTTCCCATCTTTTCTCACTAGCTCCTGTAACTAACATAAGTTTGGTCTCCCAGTGCGAATGAGGAAACAGAAAAGAAAACAATCACCCCACAAGATGTTCTATCTGCACTGAAAGAAATTGAATTTGACTCATTCCGTCCCCAGCTGGAACAAGAATTGGTTATCTATATGGAAACCACTGTGCAGAAGCGACAAAGTAAGAATGAGAAGAAAAGCCAAGGAAATGCATCAGATAAGGAGAAAGCTAGTGTTAATGATGGCGACAAGGAGCCAATTATCAAGCGACAGAAGAGGGACAATGAGCAACGCACACCAGAGACAGGCCACCACAGACATGTCAAGAATTCAGAGGTAACTTATTCTTTACAGGCATGCGGGATCATGCCGTACAATGAGGAAAGCGGGCTGCACACAGATGATACTGAAGAGGATGATGCTGAAGAAGAAGAGGAGGAGGAGGAGGAAGAGGAAGAGGAGGAGGAGGATGATGATGATGATGATGATGATGATGATGGTGACAATGATGATAGTGACACTCAAATGGCTGGCGTGGCAGAGAAGCAAGTGAATGATGATGGTAATGATGCAACTGAAGAGCAGGAACTTTCTGAAGATAGCAAGAGTGATATGGTGAGGAAGAAACACTTCAACCTAGATTCTGGGATAGACAGTGAGAGCGATTGATATTGGTATTTCTTATTCTTTTTCCTTGGGTTGGCTTATGGCAATCGGGTTGCCTGGATTGGTCAGTATGTCATGAATATATAACATACACACATTGTATTCAGCCCATACTACTTCTACCCTTTTTTACCTGTGTTGCGGCCTGAGCTTGTCACTAGAACTGGAACTAGCTGATTTCAGCGATTGCCTATATCTAACAAGGTGTACATCTCTACACCAGAAGGCACCACCGGATGATGCTGCCCCTTACATGTATTGGGGGTTTAACAATTTGGCCTGGATGATATTGGCAAAAAGCTATTATATCATAACACTAGCATTTAACAGCAAGCATTCATGTAGGTATTGCAACATATTCACAAATAGGAACCGAGAAGAACAGATGGCCACCCCCAACGAGTACAGACACAATTCCAAACAAGAACATCCTCTAGTTGTGCAGGTGGGGTTTTATTCAAACACCACAATGCCGGGAAATGCGCGCAGGGACGGTGGTTTGCTTGTGAAGTCTTTGATCTCTCCATCATGTCCTTTTCTCTCAATTTTTATTACTGCAGGATATTCCTTCATACCAATGAAAATTACTGGTCTTGAACTTAACAGAAGGACAAGAATTTCAATCACCCAGGAGCCTAAGAACAAATGTTAACTGCTCTAAGATCATCAACTCCAAACCTAAGGACGGATGATATCTATAAGAATGGCCTAAAGGCATCAAAGTAATATAGGGATAGAGCAGAATCTAATCCGTCATTCATTAGTTCGGCTAATGAGGATCTTTTGCATATCAGCAGGTATTCTGCCTATAGGCGAAATAATCTCGGTGTCGTTCCACGGGGTAGTGGCTGGGGGATGGGATGTAGACGACGCTACCAACTCGGGGAACATGGGACCATTATTTCGTGCCGCACCCGGGGATATTGGATGCATAATTGTTGAGACTTGCATGTCAGGGAAAGTGTTCTTGACGTTATTTTTCTCACCCTGATTACTCGGCTTGCTAACGCGGAAATTTGATGGGAGCTTTCTTTGAGGTGGGGATTTGTTCGTATGTGGAATCCTGCGCTGTCTGGGGGGCTTCTCTGCTTTTCTGTCAAGGGGCTTTTTGAGAGGATGGTATTTGGTAGCGGGATTTGCAGGCATTTCGACTGGGGTTATATGCGTCCTTGCTTTGGGAGCCATGACTATGGAAGGAGGAACCACAACAGCGATACTATTGCCGTGTCCTTGCTTGAAGCTTTCAGCTTCTGCCGAGCAGGCAGCAAAAGTTTCATCGCCGGTATCGTTCCATCGTTTCAAACCCACAAGTTCGGCAACCTCATCACAATCACCCTGGACCACGAGATCCCAACAGTGTTCAAAGTCTCTTCCAACAGGAGCCGAATCGTGATTTATCCACATGGTAATTCCATCTTTTCTCCCTTGGACTACACGGCACATCTCTTTAACGATACGGCGGACTCCCGGGATTTTTAAACTCGTCCCAACTACCACCAAGGCATCGGGTCTTGTCCGTAGATCAGCCCTCACCACAGATCCAATCGCTTCTTCATCAGGGTTATGTTCATTATAGAGCACAATTCGAGGTCGTAACTTCCCAACGCCCCGGCTCCGCTGGCCCGTACTCATGCGATGAGAATCTTCTTCACAACATTCAGGGCAGAGAGGGGGATCAGGCCCCTGGAAGAGGTGGGCTTTGAAATCTGATGTATGTCTACACTTTTGACATATCATTTTCTTCAAACCGCCATGGAGCTGGATAGTGCGCGGCCATGGGGCCTTCGAATTCAGAGGAACTTCGGTAGTTAACGGCGGCAGTGATGTGTCAATACCGTCTATGTTTTGTGTGTATAAACGCAGCAAACGATCCTCCTTCGCAAGCCGCGCCAATAGGTGATGAAAAGCTGAGGGCTTTGCGGTGGCCGCCATATCTGACAACAAACGAACCATATCATGAAAAGAAGAAGTCATCGTGCTGTCCAGATAAACCGACGCGTCGAAAAGTTCTTTCCCGGATGCTTTCAATTTATGGTCTTTCCGAAGCGTTTTAAATAATCCGTGCGACGATCGGAAGTCAGGAACTATAGCGATGGCTATTTTAGTATTTGCACAGTCTCCTAGATTAATGGGTGCGGACAAGATACATACTGCCAGCTGAAACCGAGATTCCAGCTCCGGCGACAACCACAATTTTTCGTTTATTTTGGAGCGCTGAGACCAGCAATTCCAGGTGATCGTTCTGATCCTTGTGCGACACAAGGCCTAGGTCAAGATGTCGCGATATCCGAGGTTTTGGTGGCAACGCACGCCTTCTCCTATTATTGGTATTCTTATTGGTGCTTGTTGGCGGTCCCGGAGTTGGTGGCATCGGTGGTTCGGAGACTATGGGTGGAATGATTCCGAGGCCTTGGGAAGTAGGAGGGGATGGATAGAACTCTGACGGAGGAACTGGAGACATTGGCGGAGAACTCAGGTTCGACGAAGTGTCTGAAAGGTCGTAGGCCTCCATCTTTGTGGTGTTCTTGGATTAATTGCAGTGACTGGGTGGAAGACACGATTTCAGTTTCGCGAAGGAGGAACTGAATAAGAGCACAATGAGAACAAGGAGATACCGATGACCAGTAACCATATCACTAACTAAGCATAGGCAATAATTGAGATGAAGAAGCTAGGGATTATGAATTGGTAGTTAGGGTCAAGCTTTGAAAGACAACCCACTCTGTACGTAGAGCTTGGTAGTTAACGTAATCCACATACGACCCCGGCCACCCAAACGAGTCGGCCACCAAATTCAAAACATCAATTTTCTAATCAAGCCACTTCAACGTGCAATTATGCCACCAATTCGCAAGAAAAATGCAAGAAACTCTATAGAGATAGAGAGGAAGCTTGAACTTGCAATAAATACTATTAAAAAAAAGAAGTAGCCTCAATTTATGAGACTGCATATCTGTTTGAGATGCTTTACACTCCTCTGTAGGATTGGTTCAGGGGTGTGAGGACCGCGATCCTTAGGGCTGACTGAGCTGGCGGACCGGTGGAAGGTTGTTCCAGGGCGAAGCCCTAGACCCTAGCTGGAGGATTCACTAAAGAGATAAATGTTTATTTAACACAGAAGCTTATTGTGTGTATTTAGCAAGCCCTCACCCTGAACCCTTTTTCTAAAACCTGCCTTAGTATTTCATTATTATAGCTACCTAGTTGACAACAGGGATTCTCCTCCTACAGCACCTAGCTGAGCTCTTAATATAATACTATGACCTACAACATCTTTAATTCTTCAGAGATTCACAGTTAAAATCTCAAACAAACAAACAAACTGTTAGGGAACCTAATATAGGTTTCATGGGCTTTTCCAGTTCAGGGATATAAAAGAGCTAAGTAAGTCTAATGCCCACAACTAATAGGAGGAAGTTGTGTGTAGAACATAGAAGTTCTCTACCTAGAAGACTGAACACTGAGGTTTCTATGATTTGTATGAATCATGTGATTCTTATATATTCAGAGTTATAAATCACACAAGTTCCTCTAAACATCTGACATCATCTGATACTTGATTAACCTACATTTGTAACACTATCTTCTTTTTCAGAAATCTTAAACTTTAAGATATAGAGTTACTGAAGTGATTTTTTGTACATTATTATAACTCTCTTGTCATTAGTAAAATATTGTAGATTTTGAAATATGCAGGCCTTTGCATTTTTACTGCTTGTCTTATATAGATGTTTTATATATGTATCACTGCTGGTTACAGTAGGTATTCTACATTGTAGAACATTAATTATCTTATTATAAATATTTAATATTTTGTCATATTATTGTCTTGATTTATCAGCTTGTTTTTAATCAGATTTAATTACTATATTATTTGTTGTCTATTATTATATTGTTTATCAATAAGTTGTAGATCTAACTACTTTAAGATGTTATGATTATCTTTGTAAAAATTCATCTGTAAATCTCTTACATGAATAAGAATTCATCTATAATTTCTTATGTAAATAAGAACTTGCTGCAAATCTCTGATATAAAACAAATAATATATATAAGAGTCAAGAGTCTTAGTTTACAAGCTGTTGGAAGTTGCATGTGTTCTCACAAGATACTAAGCCATATGTTTATAAGCACATATAAAAGACTGTTACTACATAAATTTCTTGCTGAAAGTTAATGGCAATCTTGTTTACAAGTTATATATAGTTGCCAGAATACTAGATTTTTTATCTTGTGTACTTTTTTCTATATATATTTCTTCTAGAGATTTATTATCATACTGATTCACATATATAATTCTCATATTTTGCTACTCTTTTTTGGTGATGCTTAACAATAATATTAATATAAAAGAGCTAATCTTCTGAAACCTATAAATCTGAAATACTAGCTGAAAATCAATCTGAAGAACAAACTCAAGTTTATAAGAAAGTAACTAATCTTGATATTTTATTTGTTTTAACTGTCAACAAAACTGAAATAAGCACTATAATCTTAAAGAAAGAGTCTACTTTAATATCAAAAAATGAAATTCAAAAGCTTTGTAGAAAGATTAAACTATTAAAGAAAATAATAAAATAACAAAAAAAGTTAAATACTCTTTAAATTATCTAAAAATACTTGTGAAGTAAATTTCTTGATATAGTTATTTTTAATTCTATATCTGTAAAGTATTTGTCAGTCTTAAGATTACTACAACATATATAGTTCTATCAAACTAGCATCTATGTAAAATATTACTGTTTTATCTGCAATATTAAATTTATTTATAACACAAGCAAACTAAATAATAAGAAAATTCTTGTGTATGCTTTTACAGAACTTGATTATATTAAAAAAAATCTTTAAAAAACTTATTGTAAAAATAATTTACTAAAGAATAACTGAACTGATCTTAAGAAATTTCTATATATAAGACTAGAAGATTTAGCAAACTATATATAAAGCTCTTGACAAGCAATCTTTAATCTTTGCAAAAGTTTGAATGAAACTAATTACATTTA